TCAACAAATATATTAGTTCAAATAGATAAATGGCCAAATGAAAAAATTCCAAATTGTGTGGCTATAAGTAAAAATAAAAATATTTTAATTGGATGTCAAAATAGGTCATTGTGTGAAATTAATTGTAAAACTGGTCAATTACTACGTACTTTTGATAAAGAAAAAATTTTTGGAAAAAATTTGGAAGAAGAAGAAGAATTTGGGGGAGGAATTAGAATTACAAAGGTTTTTTTGAAATTTTTAAAAATTTTCAAAAAAAAATTTCTTTTAAAGATTTGTGTAGACCCTTCTGGTACTTTAGCAGCAATCCTTTGTTCTGATAGAAGTGTTCACCTTTTTGATTTACTTGAAGAAAAAGAGTGTGGAGAAGAGGATGGTGTTGATGATGATAGCAACAGCAACAGATGTGGCGGTAAACTTTTTAAATGTTTTTGTGTTTTGGTTCTAGTTTTAAATATTAGGGGAAAAGACAATTTGTGTTTTTGTTTGGTAAAAATACAAAAATGGAGTATAGTTTTTGATAAGTTATTTTAGAGAGTATATTTACGGAAGGATCTTTTTTGAGGAATACATGTCAAAACACTAGGACTGTTCCCCGACGGAGGGGGGGGGGGCACTGGGAACAATTTTCGAGCAGGCAGTGCCACGGGGGACGGGGAATTTCCCTACTAAACAACAACCCTACTAAACACACTTTTTTGAATAGTTTCTGGAAATAAAATATGTACATTGTATTTTCCGGAACAACATTTTTCGATTATTTATTCTCAACTGAACATACAAAACTACAACAAACATTAAAACTGTTTTTTCCTTTAATTTATAAAATTTGTGTTTTGTTTTTGGTCATTTCTTTCCTTTTTATTTTATTTTTAATAAAAAATTTTTTTATATTTATACAGTTATTGGCCTTCCATCAGATTGTGTCACCGGACTTGCCTTTTTGCCTGACTGCAGGTGCACAAATAAAAAAATTTTTTTTTTATAAAAATAATTTTTTTTTCTATTTTTTAAAGACGTCTTTTGCTTGTTACATATTCGTTAGTTTTTTTTTTAATTAAATAAAAATTATTTTTTATTTTAATTTTGTAGTGGTTGTATTGCTATTTGGCGTTTACCTACAACTCTACAAAAACGAATTCCTCCCAAAATTTCTTTAGCTTGTGAACGAGAGTGAGTTTAAATTTTTATTAAAAAAAAGTTTTTTTTGAATGAAAAATTTTTATTGACCACACAGAAAATATTTTAGACATTTTCTGTTACCTTTTTAGTTTCAGCTCCTTTTACCTTACTTTAAACTGTTCCGGTCATTAAAAAAAATTTTTTTTTTTGAAATTTTTCATATTTAAATTCCTCCTCTATGCTTATCGGTCTTTGCTTATCGGCCCTCTATGCCTGTTTTCTTTATGGAATCGGTCCACAGAAAATATATTTTGTCATTTTTTCTGGTACCTTTTTATTTTTCCCCTACATTTGCCTTACTAAATTGTTCTGGTCATTTAAAAATTTTTTTTTAAATCTTTACAATTTAAATTCCTCCTCTATACTTATGGATCTTTTCTGTGTGTATTCGGTCCACACAGAAAATATATTTTGTCATTTTTCTGATACCTTTTATTTTTTCCCCTCTATTTTACCTTACAAAATCGTTCTGGTCATGTAAAAAAATTTTAAATCTTTGAAATTTAAATTCCTTTCCTCTATACTTATCGGGTTTTGATCACATTCTTTAAAATAAAATTATATTTAAAAATGAAAAGTATAAAGAAAATTAAAAGACATTGAAACGGGTAGGGGAGGAAGGGGGAATGATCACTGCCCCAAATCGCCGCGTTCTATAATAGGGCAGTGTAGGAGAGAATGCTCGTCCAGCTGCACATTATCTTCATACTTTTACCCTTCCAACAAAAAAAAAATAAAATTTTTCTTCCTTCTCAATAACAAAAATATGCGCGTCTTTTCGTTTTAATCGTTTATAAAATATTAACCGATCATTTATATATTTTATATCCCTCCACAAATTATATCTTCCACAAATTATCTCTTTATTCCGTCTTATTCGGTATAATTTATTTTTGCACTTTTACACATTTTTAATAAAAATTAGAGGTATTTAAATTTAAAAGCCTCCATTCTTCTCTCTTTTTACCTTGTTGGAATTCTCCTCAAACTCACATTTCTTCTTTTATCTTCGTCCTTTAATCTTTTCTTACTTCTAATATTCACTTCCTATTTTCTCTTCATTAAATTCCTCTCCCTTTTCAAATTTTTTCTTCAACTTTATTAAGATGAAGAGAGGGGCGATCAGTGCTGAGTAGAGTTCCGGAAGCCGGAAGCTAACTCCTGAGCCGAAGCCAAGGTTTTAAAAAAGCTCGGAGAAGGAGACACATAATTCCTAATACCCAGCACAGGAAGTGATCTCTTCCAATCCTTCCCCTTCCTTAATTTTTTAAAATTTTCACTTTAGTTCCACAAGCCCAGAAACTGCTACCAACCCAAAAATAAATAAAACAACAACAGACGATATTCTCTCTGAACAATTAAATTTTTCAAATTTGGCCAATTTTGTAGAACAACAACAACAACAACAACTTCCAGCCATTTTCTCCCTAAGTTCTGTCTCTTCAAACATTGCCGCCAACAACAACAAAAGACCTTCAACGCTGCAAGAGGCTGATGATGAATTGGACAGTGGAATTGGTGGTGGGGGAGAAGGTGGAGGAGGAGGAACAAGTAGTGGTGCTACCTCAGCAGATCGAGGAGGACAACAGAAAAAACAACAACAAAGGTAGGGGGAAATATATTTTTTAAAAGTTTGTGTGGAGTGTGCGGTGTTTTTCAAAAGTAAAAAATACATATATAATACATACATTATTTGCATAATGTGTTTTATATTTTTAAGAATTTGTTTTCATTGTATTTTCCGGAAAAGTTGTGAACAATTAATTTATTGTATTTTCCGGAAAAGTTGTGAACAATTAATTTATTGTATTTTCCGATAAGGGTTTTAAAATGTATTTTTTGTGTATTTTTCCGGAAATATTTTCAAACTTAAATGTATTTTTCCGGAAAGGTTTTCAGAATTAAATGTATTTTTCCGGAAACATTTTCAGAATTAAATGTGTTTTTCCGGAAACATTTTCAGAATTGAATGTATTTTCCGGAAACATTTTCAGAATTAAATGTATTTTTCCGGAAAGCGTTATATTAAATTCTAAAAATACAAAAATTCCTTTTCTTTGTATTTTCTTTGTATTTTGTTTTTTTTTAAATTTTTCTGGCGCATACATCAATCGCTGATGTGTAAAAAACGAAAAAAAAGTGGTTAGAAAAAAGTCATCGATGCATAAAACTAAAGTTGAATAAAAGAATATTTTTTTAGTCTGATTCATTCTAACCAAAAAAAAAGATTTTTTGATCATGAAAATATTTTTATAAAAAAATATTTTTCTTCTAAATTTCAATTTTTGTTGACTAAAAAAAATACAATTTTAGGAGAGACCTTGAACTTTCCTCTATTTTTATTTATTTTTTAAAAATATTTGTAAAGATCGCTTCTATTTTTCCCCTTTTTATTTTCTGTTTATATAGCCCAATCGGCTGGCCAATCGATTTTCCCCATCACATTTTCTATATAACGCTTAAAAATGAACGTTCGATTGAAAAAAAAAGATATATGCGGTTAAAAAGACTGGTATATTTACCGAAACCACAAAAAAAAATTTTAAAAAAAGAGGAAAAATTCTTTCGCCTGTCACTACCACCAATTTTTTGCGCTTAAATGCCTTCCTTTTAGTTTCCTTCCTGTTTTGATCATATGAAATACATTATTATTTCATTGAAACAGATCTTAAAACATTTCCAGAAAAATACAGAAAATACCTTTTTTTCAGATAATGTATTTTCGTTTAAATTCTAGAATTTGTGTTTTCCGGAAGCCCTTCTGAAAATTTATTTTAGAATGTATTTTCCGGAATTTGTTTTCGATTTTGTGTTTTCCGGAAATGTATTTTCTTTTTAATTTTATTCACTTACTATTATTATCTTCTATTTTTTTATTTTTTTAGTTTTGAAATTAAACGACTGAACCCATTGGACGCTTCCATTTTATTTTCTAAACAAGAGGAGGAGCAAAGTGAAATTGGAGGAGAAGGTAAAATAAATAATAATAATTTTATTTTTCCTTAAATATTAGCAAAAAAATAAAATTTTTAAAGAATTTATACAAATAAATAAAATTTTTGCAGTTATCAATTCAATGCTTTCTCACTCTTCAATGACTCGTCCTCAGCATCCAAATGTTTCTAATCCGCATAATAATCTTGGTACTCCACAGCAAAATAAACAACAACACTTTTTTCAGCATAATCAACAACAAATAAAAGTAAACGCCCTTTAAAATTATTTTTATATATAAATTCTGAAAAGTTTCCGGAAAATATACATTTTTATATTTAAAAATAAATTCTGAAAAATAAACACATTTTTCAATATAAGTTTTTCGGAAAATACATCAAGAAATAAATTTTAGTTTCCGGAAAAACATAAATTAATAAATTCTACAAATTTTCCGGAAAATACATTTATATTAGAAAATACATCTTCCGGAAAATACACTAGTAAAATACATTTTCAGAAAAATAAACACATTCGTTAATATAAGCTTTCCGGAAAATACATAAAAAAATAAAAAAAATACATTTTAAAAATATATAAAAAATACATTTCCGGAAAATACATTAATTAATAAATCTTACAGGTTTCCGGAAAATACGTTTTAGTAAATCAGAATTAAGCTTTCCGGAAAATACAACCTTAACAAATAAATTCTGAATATTTCCGGAAAACACATAAAAATACAACTTTTCTTTTTCCAGCATACTCCATCTCAACAACAACAATTTTCTCATTTTCCACTTTTATATACTCATCCAACGCAACAACATCAACAAAATTTATTATTAAATCAACAACTACAGCAACCTAAAAATAGTCGTTCAATGTCTAATTTACATTCAACAAGTATTATTAATGGACAACAACAACAATCAAGAGAAAGGCGTAAATGGAATATTGGTGGGGTAAATAATGCTGCTACACAACAACAACATCAGCAACAACAAATTTTGAATCCAACACAAATGTATTTACAAAATCAGAATGGAGGAGGAGGTTTAATTTTTGTTTTAATTTTTATTTACAAATAGGATTTTGGGTTTCATATTTTTTGTTCTTTTTTTTTCTGAACTATTTAGAGTCTAACATAAGAAGTATGAATTTTTACTTGTTAAATTTTTAATTATTTTTTTGACATCTATCAACAACCACTTTTGTTCTTACTTTTTCCCTTACTTGAACGGGAAAAAATCATAGATCACAAAAACGATTTTTTTAAATTAAAATTGTTTTTTATTTAATTTATTTTCAAAAAAAAATTTTTTTTCTAGTTTCTTCGTCACCTTCTCCTTCAATGTATCTTTCTGTTAGACCACCAATTCAACAACCTATACAGCAACAACAACCTTTAACTAAAGATATTGTTAATTCAAATTATTTATCTGTTAATAATAATTCACAACAACAACGTTTTGGTATTGGTAATTCTATTTCATTAAATGCTATTCGTTCTGGAATGATTGAAAAGGTTTTTTTTAAATATTTTTTTATATTCTATTAATTTTAATTATAATTTTTTTCCTTATGTGTTCCTTCAAAATTAGCCTTTTCTATTTTATTATTTAAACCATTTTATTTGTTTTGGGTTAATGTTTGGTTGTGGTGTAATGGTTAGTGTTTGTGTCTGCAAGCCAGTATACATGTGGGTTCGAATCCTTTGGACTGCTTCTTTGTGTTTTTGGTCCTTTTTTTTCAAAATATGAAATATTTTTGATTCCTCTTTTAAAAAAATTATTTCCTTTTTTTGGATATTTTTTATGTTAAACAATTTAGTTATTTTTATTTTTTTTAATCCAGTGGACAATTTGTCACAATTTATTTTTCCTTTTTTGTTTTTATTTAAAAATTTTTTTGAAGAGGAATCAAATTATTTAAAAAAAATTTTTATTATAAATTTTAATCTTAAAAAAAATTTTTTTAAGCAACAAGAATCCCAACAACAACAAGAATATGGCAATAGAAATTCTTTATCTCGACGTTATCTTCAAACAAATGTTGAAAATGAAAATAACAAAAATAATTGTGTTTGGAAGCCTAATCAAAATATTACAAAAACATCTATGCTTGTTAAAAAGAGGCGCTCTTCAAATTTATTTAATACTTCAGGAAATAATAAGGGAGATGATGGGGGAGAAGAAAATGGGTCTTTTACAGGTTTATTTGTTAATTGAATTTTTTGGGTACACCCCAACGTACCGCGAGGCTAACGTAACGCAGAACTATAACTTTGTTCAGAATGGTTGAATCCGGGACGCCCTGATATGTTTGATTCAGCTCGACGTGATGCATAGAACCATACCAAGGCGTCCTGGATTCGATTATTTTGAACGAAGTTATAGCTATGCGGTACGTTGAGCTCGCGGGACGTTGGCCTGTTCCCGAATTTTCTTTTTTGGATTTTGTGGGTTTATTTTTCGAGTATTTTTTTCTATTTTGGAATTTAATTTTTTTTAATTTTATTCAAAAAATATTATTTTTATTTTTTAATTTATAGCACATCATCAACAACAACAAAACCACCAATCATCATTATTATTAGCAAATAGTAACAGTCCTTGTAGTTCAAGCCAAGCAAGTACTCCAAGTGGTTGTGTTAGTAATGATTATAGACATTCTCCTCCAGATGGAATAAATGCTCGTTTGGATGATTCTAAATTTGGTTCTGGTGGTGGTGGGGGAGGAGGAGCTAGAAGTGCTTTAAATAGAATTAAACAAAGAAGAATGGCTGCTGCGGCTGTTGCTAATAATAATAATAATTCTGATTTACCCCCATCTATAGGTTTGTATTTTTTGTTAAAATATCAGGATTATAGGGGAAGTGTATTTTTTTCTATTTTTGTGGTTGAATTTTCTTAATGTATTTTTCGGAAAATTTTTCATAATTATTTTCAGAATTTATTTTAAAATTTATATACATATAATCAAAAATACAAAATTCCGGAAAAAAATTATCAAATGTTTTTTCTGATTATCCACATTTAAATTTAAATGTTTTTTTCGGAATGAGATTTAGGGTTTCCGGAATTTTTTCAAAATTTGTTCTTAAATTTTGTATTTTTATTTTTTAATTTGCAATGTCGGTGGTGGTTCTTAAAATAAAACAAATTTATTTTTTATAGGCCGTCAAACACCATCATCCCACCCGCCTCGTTCACGTTCTCAATCACCTTCTCAACTTGCAATGGCTGTCTTAGCTTCTGAAGCAGCTCAAGCCCAAACAGCTAGGCCTATATCGCCGTCTGTTCGTTCGGTTTGTTTTTTTGAAAATTCTAAAAAATTAGAAAACTTCTGATTTTTATTTTTAGGTCCTTTCGGGTAGTTCTCCTTCAACAACTTCTCGTTATCAACTACGCCTTTCAACTGTTGGTAATGGTGTTGGTGGTTCTCCCTCCTCTTCTTCTTCACGTTTACGACAAGCTAGACAAAGACTTAAAAAATCACAAGAAAATTTGGCTTCTTTAAAAATTGAAAATAAAGAGGTTGATGAAAATGAAGAAGAAGAGCCTTTATCTAGATCTAGGTCTATTGGAAATTTATGGATGACAACAACAGGGAGAAGAAGAACATCTTTACATTATACAGATGACAGGTTTTTGTTATTTTTTATTTTATTTAAAAAAATTATTTGGAGAGGCAAGGGAGGATGAGGGATGATTACTTAAGGAAGGAAATTTTTTAAGGGAGAGGGGTGTTATTAATTAAAATGATGGGGTAATTTGTACAAATATTCTTATGTTAATAACCAGAACATCTGAAATATGAAACCAAAAATTCAGAAATTTTGGGAAGGCTTATCTGGTACTATTGAGGATAATTATTTTGAATTTTATGATTTTATAATCTTATTTAATTATTTTATTACCTTTAAAACTTTATTTTCACGTTTCCGATCACTTTTACTCCCTATTACATATTTAATTTTTTCATAAAAATTTTTCTTTTAATTTTTTCATGAAATATGTAAATTTTTTAATCTTTTTATTATTCAAATAAAATTTCAAATAATTTTTTAGAAAACAAAATCAACGAGAAATAGCCAAATCAACAACAGATTTATTATTATTAAATGGGAAACCTAAGGAAGATGATACCACAAATTCATCAAAATTAATTAGTAATAGATTAGCAGAATCTAGGCAACGATTGGCACAATCAATTAAAGATATTAATAGAAGAATAAGGTTTTTTTGAAAAATATTTTTTTATTTTTTAAAATCCGCAAAATATATTTTTGTCCTCAACTATTTAAAAAAAATTTTTTAATTAAAATAATTTTGGGTTATTTTTTATAGACCCAAAATTCTATTTTTAAAAATATTTTAGTAAATTAATTCTTGACTCAAAAATAAAATTAAAAATTTGCGGATTTAAAGTTGCGGATTAAAAATAAATTTTTTTATTTTTTTCTTCTTTTCTTTTAGTGAACCAGATATTCAACCAATGTTGACTTCATTGTCTAAAGAAAATTCTCATCAAATAACAGAAACACCACCTTCCTCTTCATCATCTTCAACTACATTTAGAGGAGGTCCTAGACGTGGAGTACAAAAAAAGGTTTTTTTAATTAAAACTTTTTTTTTACTTCGGTTGAGCCTATTTCGTCAATTAAATTTTTTTTTATTTTTCCTAAATTTAATTTTTTAAATTTTTTAGTTAGATAAACAATTACAACAACAACCACCACAGTCCATTAGTGCTCGTTCTTTTCAACATTATAATCCTGGTGATTGGTCTACTGAATCCTCTTCCAATATTAAAATGAATTTAATGCAACCAGTAGGAATAAGGTTTTTAAATTTTTTTAGAAATTTTTTTTTAATTTTTTTATAGAAGTGCCACTTCTCTAACCCCAACAACAGCATCAAATAATTTTTCTGCACATTCTCCTCGTAGCAATTATTTGGCACAAAAACTTGCTAGCCGGTGGGTAATTAAATAACGTTTTTTGCCAAAGTAACCTTGTATAATTGCCTATAAAATAATCTTAGGTGGGTCTAAAATTCTGAAATTTCGTTTGGAGACCCTGAATACTTTTGGCTATTCCCTCCCAAAATTTCAGAATTTTTCGTTTCATATTTCAGAAGTTCTGGTCAAAAATATCAGAATTTTATTTAAAATATGGTCATTTTTTGCCTATAACTTTTGTTTTATTTGATCTAAATTTTTGAAAATTTGTTTGGAAATAATTAATAGTGTTGTCTATCCCTTCCCAAAATTTCAGAATTTTCTGTTTAATTTTAATTTTTTTAGAAGTGGTTCTGTTGCTACTGATTCATCAATAACGACAACAACCTCTTGTAATCGTTCATTTACTTCAGAATTAAATCAAATAAATAATAATTTGGCTTCATTTCAGTTTACTTCTACAGGCTCAAAAAGTTGGTTTTCTTAAAAAAATTCTGAATTAATTGAGAAATTTAAAAAATAGAAATGGCATTGCATGCACAAGAATGTATAAAAGAAATGCAGCAAGCTAGTGATAAACTTTTGGGAACGCGTCAGTTGGTAAAAATTAATTCTGATTTTTTTAATTTAAAAATAAATTCTGATTTTTCAGAATTTTTATTATTAGTTACGTTTGAAATTCTGATTTTAAAAATAATTCTGATCAAAATTCCGATTCCAAAATTCTGATTTTTTTCAGAATTTCTTATTCAGAATTATTTTTGCAATTCTGGGCCTGTATATTCTGACATTTTTATTTTCAGAATTATAATTATGATATATTTTTTCTGAATCCAAAATTTAAAAATAAATTCTGATTTTTCAGAATTTTAAGTTTTGTATTTTTTCTGTATTTTATTCTTTATTTTTCAGATACAATTTGACCCAACAATTAATTCTGAGGTAAATTCTGATTTTTATAATTTAATTTACGCATACTTTGGTGTGATGTCAATATTAAAAAATAAATGACAGTTTGTCCCATTTAATATTTTGGGCAGTTTGAGTCTGAGATTTTTTTATTTTTTGAGAAATAATTTTTAAAAATTTTTTCAGGAAAAGCATCAATTACTTTTTAATGTAAACAAAGCTGTAACTGCTTTTTCTAAAAGAATGATACTTGAAGATGAAGAACATGGAGGAGAACAACTTTAATTAAAAGAGGAAGGGACTACTCAAAAAATGACTCAAAAAATTATTTTAAATTTGTGCCTTTGTATTTTGATTTAAAAAAATGTGTGACAGACAAAATTTTGTTGGAAAATTAAAAAGAAATCTCGTAAGAAGCTTGTCACACATTTTTAATGGTCCATTAAAAAAGACTGGCGACGGTCGAAAAAAGCCCCCCTTTTCTACTTAATGTTCGCAAATTTCTGCATATTATTTTTAAGTTTTTATATATTGCAAAGACTTAATTATGAATTTTAAATATAAATATATTTATTTTTGTTTAGGCTTTATCGATTAGTATTGATTTTATCGATTGATATCGATTTTTTGGAAAATAAAAATTTTTAAAAATTAATTATCGATTAGTATCGATTTTATCGATTGATATCGATTTTTTGGAAAATAAAAATTTAAATTTTTTAAAAACGACAAAATGCCTCTTAAATATAAATGCGACAAAACGCCTCCTCGTTACAACATCAACATAACATCCCATAGTTCAAAACAGACAAAATGCATCCTAGTTATAAATGCGACAAAATGACTACATGTTATAAACGCGACATAATATCTCATAGTTAAAAACGCGACAAAATGACTTCGTCATAAATGCGACAAAACGACTCATAATTCAAAACAGGACAAAATTCCATCTAGTTGAAAAATTTTCAAAATGGTCAGAAACAAATAATTTCAAAACGGTCAGCAGTAAAATTTGTTTGTAAATTGTCGACTGAACAATCTAAAGGCAGACAAAAATATTTTTCGAAATGGTCAGTTGTTGATTTGATTCACAAAACATTTTAATTGTAGTTCTGTCGTTTGTGAATCATTAATAAATAGAGAACAAGAATGTTTAGGACGTTGTTGACCAAGACAAACCGAGGATGTAACAATGCTTTTTTTAAATAAAATATAAACAATCTCCGGTTATGACTTGCCCAACAACGGCTTTGTGAACATTTTTAAATTAAATTTTTTAAGTTTTAAAGGGAATAAATAAGCAAAAATAATCAAAAAAATAAATTTTTTTTAAAGGAAATGAATTACTGAGCAATAAAAATTTAAAGAAAAAAATAAAAAAATAAATTTATTTTAAAGGCCGCGATTGGTAAGAAGCAAGAAAAAAAATGAAAAAAAAAATTTGAGGAAAAGCGGGCCCCCTATAAAAGTTAAATCATACAAAAATTATTCTCCCCCTATACAAACCCATTAAAAATATTTTTTATTTAAATATGAATTTTCGATTGGGGGATATTTTTTAAAGCATTTTTTGTATGTAAATAAATAATATATTGCACAGAAAAAAAATTGAGAAAATTAAAAATAAAAAAATTTTTGGGTAAAAAAGTAGACAAGAAAAATGGCAAGTTTTGACCAGGCTTACTTATAGTAATGGATATGGATAGATACATTAAGTTCAAAATGCCTGCGAATTTTGATCCGCCGTAAATATCCGAATACGGATACCAAAATCCATTACCAAGTCTGGTTTTGACTTAAAATAATTTAGAAATAAATAAAAAATTATTTTAAGGAGTTAAAGGGCAAACTCTCAAATAATTCACATGACTAAGGAATGTTGCAAATCGAGTTTTTTTTTAAAGAAAAATTGAAAATATGGAATTAAAATGGGAGTTTTAAATTTTGAGTTCTTCAAATTAGCAGGACTAGAGATTGTACCAAAAAGGTCAAAACTAATTTAAACGGATCTTGGGCCTGATTTTTAAAGAATTCGGAGGTTAACCACAAAGACACAGAAAAAATATGCAAAAATGAAAACGGGAGGAATACTGAATAAAAAAAAGGACAAAAAAATTTAGTTCAAATTTGGAAAATTTTTGAAAAAGTTGAAAGAAAAAAATTCGGACTTTTTTGGAAGGAACATCCCTTATTGGTCAGGTTAAGTTATCAAAACTTGGAAAAATTAAAAAAAATAAATTAAAAAGAAAAACCTAATTTCCAAAAGAAAATCATTTTTCAGGTATAACAAACCTAATAGTCTTCGATTCTTTTGATTTAATTTGCCCGCAATTTTTTCCATTCAATTTGGTTGTTGCTGTTGTTTTTCTTTCAGTTTCATCTAACCAATAGCCAATACGACTTACAGCAAGGAAAAAGAAAAAACTAGAAAAAAAGAAAATGTTGTTGGTTATTTGAAAACAGGTAAGGAATTCATTGTAAACAGGGATGGAACGGATTGAGAAAATTTCTCAGATTGAGTTTCGGGTCGAAAAATATCTAGGTTCTGGGTAATTCTGTGTAACAAGGCCATAAAAATTAAAAGAAAGTTTAAGTTATGTCGTGGAATCCAGAGGTGGGTCGAAATTCCGATTTCCGACGTTTTTGCCCGAAAAAAAATTTTGATTTCGAGTTCCGACTTTTGAGCCAATTCCGATTTCCGACACCTCGGGCTGTTATGACCCACCTCTGGTGGAATCTAGCTGAAGAAACCCCAGGATTTATCGATTCGATCCTTCAGTTAGATTCTGGATATCCGAAAATTCTCAAGAAACATTAAGCCTAGTTATATAAGTGTCAAAAGACATTTTAATATTTTCCCAAAAATAATTTTTAAAAAGAAAATATCCAAACAATCCCCACAACTTCCCATAAAATTTAAAATTAAAAAAAAAACCTGCAAAAAATAATAACACTTCCAATTCCAATTAATCTCCATTCTGGACCAGTAGCCAAAAATCCAAGCAAAGCAAGTCCTTCCAATACATAAACAAATGAAGCTAGAACCAAACGATGAAAATGAGAGGCTAATAGAGAGCCTAACGGGGCGAATAAAACAACTACAGGGACTAGAAAATTAAAAAAATTATTTTTTGATTTAAAGAGTAAACCTGAACAAGTGAAATAATTCCTTTAAAAAAAGAAAAAAAATTTTTAATTAAAAAAAAATTTAAAAAAACCATGCAAGAGTAGACACCTCAGACATAATTAAATGCCTCCAGAAAAATCCAACACAAGTATTTGCCTCCAAAAAAATTTTTTTTTTAATTCTTAAAAATATTCAAAAGCTTACAGCCATTAGAACAACCTAAAAAAATTTTTAAAAAATTAAAAAATAAATTTTTTTCAAACCGATGTTGGAGTAGCTACTTTTTCGCTAAGCCTGAACAAAAGTGTTAAAACAGAAAATGCACAAATATCAACACCAGAGCCTGCAAAAGCGCTGCAAAGTCCTGAAAGAAGAAAAAATAAATTTTTATAAAATAAAAACTCAAATTCTGACTTTTAATCTTTAAAAATTGTAATTCTGTTTTTATAAATATAGTTTTATGTAATTTATAATTCTGGTCTCTTTTAAATTCTGATTTAATAAAATTGTAAAAATTCTGAATTTTAATGATTATTTTTGATTAAAAAATTTTCTGGTTTTTATAGTAATTCTGATTTTCTAAAAATACCCCTTTCTAAAACCCTCTTTCTCTCTCTATATTTAAACAAAAAAAATAAAAATAAACAAAACCTCCAATAAATCCAGCAACAAAAAGAATTAAAGCCTTCCACCAATTAAATTTTACAATACCAGAATGTGTTCTTCTCTTCTTTTGGGTGTTTAAAACGTATAGAGAAATTGCAAAAGAAAACCAAATACTGACAAATAACCTGAAAAAAATTTTGAAAAATTTTCAAAAAATTTTGAAAAATTTGGAAAAATTTTCAAAAATTTCAGAATTTTTTTTAAATTCTCAAAAAATCTCCCCCTTTACATTTTCTTTTCCGAACCAGTCAATAAATAATCAACCCATTCCAATCCAAATATAATTCCAGCAGTTGAACCAATTGTACATAGAATTATTGCGTGCCTTTTAAAGATAAATTAAAAAAAATTTGTAAGTAAAATTTATTTTTAAAAAATATTTTGAGGCTGAAAATGTTTCTGAAAATTTTTTTTTTCATTTTTGAAATTTCAAAAAAAAAATTATTTTACAAAAATTCTTTCGAAAAATAATTTTTTTAATCAAAAAAAAATTAAAAAAAAACCATTCCAATTTTATTCTCATCCAAAGTATTGTGAACGCAGCAGAAGTCATTCCTATAAAGTAAGAAATATTTTTAAAATTTTTTTAAAAAATTTCCTAAAAATTCCTAAAAATTTTTTCAACAAACCACAAGACTGAACCATTAAAGAAAAATCCCTCGCAACTTCAGTTTCAATATGCAACAAAAGTGTCATAACCGGAAATGCAACAGCCCCACCACCTTCTGAAGTCATTCCAGCCACAGTTGCCCCAACAACCATTGTTAGTGGAAGTTCGTAGTGAGTGGGGAAGAGGCGGAAAAAGTTGTAACGAAAGGCTAATGTCCACCACATAATCTTTTAAAAAAAGTGAAATTATTATTTAAACGCAGACTGAGGTCTGAAGAATTTTTTGAAGGGGGGAGGGGATTCCTTTACGTAAATTTTAGTAAAGCAAAATAACTTAGTCTAACTCTAGACAAAAAAAAAGATTTAAAAATCATAGTCTCATCCGTTTTAACCAAGAAACCTAAAACCACAAAAATTGCCTAGAACTGAGCTCTGAAACATGGCTGAAGTTGGAGTTGACGGTTTTGTGCCCATCTCTCTAGCGTGAACTTGTCTTGGAAAAACACCACACTAATAAACTACTCGAATTCATGTTTACAAATGTCTTCGCGATCAAATACTTAATAGTTCCGCCTTTCTATTCTAAAACCCCCCATTTAATAAAAAATAAACCTGCATAAAAAGACAAGGAAGTAAAAATCCAATATATTTTCTGTAACGATTAAAAATATCCTCCAAAACTTCTTCTTCATCATCGTCAGAGCACACTTCGTTACTGTACAATTGGCCTTGAATAAAATAAAAAGTAAATTTGTAAAAGAAATTTTCGGAGGAAACGAATGGGAAGGAAGGAAACACAAAAATTGGTTATAGAGGGAGGCTAGGCGAGAGATTGAAGTTAAAAAATGGAAGGTAAGAAAAATCTTAAACCTAAATGGAAACTCGGCAAGTGCTGAACTGGGGAACAGTAAAAATAGAAAATTTGATGTCTCGTTTACTCTAAGACTGCTTACATAAGTCCGGAACACTTGGCAAAATACGGAGCATTGTGGAAGGTGAGTTAGGTTTTCCTGTAACCAGAGTCCAGGCCCCGGTATTTTTTGACCTTCCTGAATTTTTCCTGGACAGGTCCAGGTCAATAAACCAAATCCAGAGTCCAGGAACAGGCCCAGGCTTTTCAAAAATCTCAATCTTTGTTGTCATTATCGGATCCCTGTCAAAAAACTTTATTATCTTCAAGCCCAAGCTTGAAGATAATACAAAAACCTGGCCATTTGTTGGTTGCTGTAAAAAAATCTCTGCGGGACAGCTTATCAGATTTTATAAAACAAACCTTGAAGAAAATATTTCCGGAAAAAAAGCTTCGCTCTGCCAAAATAAGTCGACTTCAACTCCTAAAAAATTTAAATCTTAAACAAAAATTTCAACAAAAACCTGGCCATTTGTTGGTTGCTGTAAATTTTCCTCTTCGCAATCTTGTGTTGTTTTAGAATTTAAATAAATTGTTAATCTGTTTTGTTGTTCTATTCTATTAGTAGACATTTTCTTTTATTTTTTTTGAAAGTAGGCTAAAACTGAGAAAACCACAAAAACAAAATTGTTCTTTTCTAAAAACTAAAAAAGAAGAAAAACAAATCCTTTTAATGATAAAAAAAACCTCTAAAGAATCAAAAATTAAAAAAATAATACCCAATTTTGATGCTTTGAGAAAAACAAAAACAACCAAAAAAATTCAAACCAAAAAAAAACGCGAAATATTTCAAAATGTAAACTAATCCCAAAAAATTCAAATAATCTAAAATCAAAGTTTTCAAAACACCTAAAAACGAAAATTTTGACGAAACACCCCAAAATTTTTTTCTTTTAACCTTCAACAACAACAACAACTTTTCTGGAAACAATTAACTCTTGAATAATAATAAAAAATGTATTAGGGTAAAATGCTTATAATTGTTCATTATTTTCTTAAATTTTTTTTGTCTAAAAAATTTTCTTTAAAAATAATTCTTTCCTAAAACAATGACACACAAATAGTGCTCTATTAAAATTTATTTTTTAGGGTGATTAATAAATAAAAAATTGCAAAAAAAATCAAAGATTATACCAAAAAACCCCTCTCCTCTTTCTAAAAACAATTATACTAAAGGTCAGTTTAATACCAAAAATTAAAATTTATTGAGAAAAACAACAACTGTGTTGATGAACGTTTTTATTGTTGTTGTGAATATAATTTTGTTAGCCAATTTTAATGAAAAATAGAGCCCTCCCTAATTTTTTACACTAATTTTAAGTCCAAAATTCTAAAAATACCTAAATAAATTCCAAAAAAATTTTTTTTGGAATTTTAAAAATAATTTTAGTTTTAATAAAAAATTTTTTATTCAAAAAATTGAGGTTTTTGTTGAAAAATTAAATTTTTAAAAATAAAAAAATTAAAAAAAACAACTTTTTTTCCTAGCAAACAATTTTGTTTTTAATCCTAATTAAAATATAACATTGCATTTTATTAAACATTGTTGTTGTTGTTTAAAGTATTCCTTGCATAACGTAATAAAGTGAAGAGAACTGTATCTGTTACACCAGAAATTCTGAAATTAAATTTAAAAAATATCAGAATTTGTAGAATTTGGAAAGTCAGAATTATTAAAAATCAGAATTAAAAAATCAGATTAGTAAATCAGAATTTTTTGAAAATCAGAATTAAAAGAATCAGAATTTATTTTAAAAAAATTCTGATTTTTTAATAAGAAATTAAATAATTAAAAATCAGAATTCCTCAGAAAATCAGAATTTTAAAAACAGAATCAGTAAAATTAGAACTTTACAAAATCAGAATTTCTTAGAAAATCAGAATATTTTGGCAAATCAGAATTAGTAAAACCAGAATTTTTTAAATCAGAATTTTTTTAAAAATCAGAATTTGCAAATTAAAAAAATCAGAATTTTACAAAAATCAGAATTTTTTAAAATCAGAATTTTTTTAAAAATCAGAATTTTAACAAATCAGAATTTATAAATTAACAAACCTGGCCGCAGCAGCCAAAGTTTTCGGTTTAACTTCATTTAATCTTTCCCTCACTTCTGCCTTAATTTCAACATTTTCCAAATAATTTAAATTTGTCGGTATTTCTGTATTCATTTCTTTTTCTAATTTTTCTATTCTAACTCTCAATTCTTTATTTAAATGTAAATAACGTTGTTTATTTATTATTCTTTCCAAAAGTAAACGTTCCCCGAGAAATTCGTTGAAGAGGGAAGGCCATACATTTGCTAGCTTTTCTAGCCTCAATTCTGGATGTTTTACAAGTAATTTCTTTGCAGAATAAACTTAAAAAAATTGAAAAATATTTTGTAATGAGTTAGAATCGGACCTCAACATAAGAAAACCCTTTGGGATGAAAAAGATGCTGGTTCACTCCTAACCGCCGATTAACCTTTTGCACTAGCTAAAGGAGAGAAATAGTTATAGCCCAGCTCTGCTTTACTATCCCACGATGACTTGGGGGCCGAAATCAATAAGGAGCGGCTCCGAAAATCACCGGAACGGGAGCCAGGAATTTGAAAACCCCCGTCCTATACCCAGTACTGGCATCTTATGTTTTAAACAGGAATATCGATTAGACCAGGTTACCCCCACCCAGTGGTCAACCTAATTTAAAAAGCTTATCTTATTGTTAAGCTAATAATAAGTTAATTCAGAGGTTATCTTATATAGAGCTCCGACTTTTATTTAATCAAAAATTTAAAACAAACTTAGGCCAGTTTTCCCAGGAGTATTTAACCCTTCAATTTTCGCATTCCATCCATCAGAAGTAAAACGTATAGAATCTAGCCTTTCATCAAGTACTTCTAGACGAGAACACATTTGTTTAAAATGTGACCAGCGATGATCAGATACCAAGCCTTTTTTGTATGCCTTTTCAGTCAGACGTAAGTCAGCATTATCTGGTCTGTAAGAAAAAAATGGGAAAATGGTTTAAAATTCGGTAACAGACCTGGTCATGGATACGGATATGAATACAGATATTATCAAAATGCCTGCGGATATCCGCCTGTATCCGCCGTAAATATGCGGATACGGATACCAAAGTCAGTATCCGTGACCAGGTCTGTTCGGTAATATTGCCGTTCATGCCCCCCCTCACCCCCCCCCCTTCCATTTCTACCACCAAAAATTCCTTCATATTTACATGAAAAACTGTGCTTGTGTAACAATAAATTCAATGTATGGGATGTCAAAAATGAGGGGACCAGACAAGACGTCGAGGGCTCAAAGTCAATAAAGGTTGGAGACATGTAGCAAGGAGTTAGAGACATGTAGCATTGTTCAACTATTACCAAAAAAATTGTCGAACAATTTCGAGAATTATGAAAAGAGTGGAGGACATAAACGACATTACTACCAAAAAAATTAACAAAACCTCAACTCCAGCCGATTTTCTGACCGAGAAGTAAATATTCTATAAGCTTCAGTTACCCCAAAATTAGTCAAATCATCAATCATTACACCGATATATGCCTCTGTTCTTGAAACCTTTAAAGGATTATAGGCCGTCTTATCTCCTTTTTTGTTTGCTTCCGCTCTTTCTGCCGCGTTTGTTCCAGCGATTAAACCTTTAGAAAAAAATTTTTTTAATTAAAAAAAATTAAAAAAAAAACCTTGGGCTGCAGCTTCTTCATACCCCGTAGTTCCATTTATTTGTCCTGCCAAAAAGAGACCACAAACTTTTTGGGTTTCCAAGGTTGGGAAGAGTTGTTGAGGATGAACAAAATTGTAACGGACAGAATAACCTTTAAGAAAAAAATTTCAAAAATTTTCAAAAAAATTTCAAAAAAATTTCTAAAAAATTTTCAGAAATTTCAAAAAAATTTTTAAAAAACTTCAAGAAAATTTCTAGAAAATTTTTAAAAAATCCAAAAAAAAATTTTTTCAAAAAAAAATTTTTCAAAAATTTTTCAAAAAAATTCAAAAAAAAAACCAGGTTGTGTAACTTCAACATTTTCCAATCCTTCCACTGTCCTCATTATTTTAACTTGAACATCCAAATCAAATCCTAGAGCGCATCCTTGAGGGTAAACCAACTCGCTATCCAAACCTTCTGGTTCAAGGAAAATCTTTAAAAATTTTTAAAAATTTTTTTTTCTAAATAAAAATTACTCTATGCTTTAATTCAGGAAAACGCAAACATTTAGCTTCCAATGACGGGCAATATCGAGGTCCTACAAAATTAAAATTTAAATACAAAGTAATACAATTTTAAATTATTAATCCAATAAATTCTTAAAAGAAATCATTGGGACCACTTTAAAAAAGATTTTAAGAGATCTAAACTGAGAATTGACCAAATTTCGAGTTAAACAACTTAAAAAATCTCGGTTACGTTTCCCCAGCTTTTAAAAAAAAATTTCTAATGATTTAAAAATTTTCGGAATTTTAAATTTTAATTCAATCTTAACTTTGTCACCATTATTTAAAAAAAAAATTTTCATATAAAAAGCCAACAAAATAATTCCTAAAACATTCCCCTGCTCAACAAAACAACAAACAAATATATTCTCTACAAACTTCTCTCTCAAAAACCCAAAATGAAATTATTTTCTATCTTCAACAACAACAACAAATCTGTCATCAAAAGCTCAACAATCACCACCATCACCATCATTATTTTATTTATTCTATTGCTTGGACAAATCAACAAAACTTCTGCTAGCTCATTCTTTTTTACAATTTCTGATGCAGAAGTGAAGTATAATTTTACTATATCAACAAGTCTATTTGTGCTGCTTCTTATTTGTTGTTGTTGCTGTTCTATATGTTTTTGCTGTCGTTCAGAATGAAAAAAGGAAGAAAATAAAGGAAGATATAAAGAAGGATGAAGGAAAGTTTAGGAACAAGAATTTAAAAAAAAAGAAATGTTTAGGTGATATAAATAAATATTTTTCTGTTTGTTTGTAAATTTAGTTGTGTGTCTTATATAAATTGTAAATTATATGTAATTTTTGTTTTTTAAATAAAAAGTGTTTAAAATTCTCCATAATTAAAATTTTGTAAATTTTCTGCTTTTCCCCAAATTTTTAAAAATTTCATTCCTTCAACAAAAGAAAAATTAATCCAGATTCCCTAGCTTTTTTTACTTTGAAACTATTAGAAATCTTTATCAATATCACACCAACATTGATGTCTCAAAAATTTTCCACTTCTATATAGAGAAAACTTTTGTCAGCTCCCACACTTTGATAAATTTAATAAAATTAGGTTGAGAAAATTAAGTCGTAAGGCGTAAGTCCCGAACATGAAGAAATGTCTTGAAACCAGCCCCAAATTCACAATGCAAAGAAAAATCAAATGTAATATGTAGAGTCAAAATCTTCATATAAAAGCAGACAAACTTAACATAAACAAAACACTCTCCCTCTCTTCTATCAACAACAAAACTTCTACATCGTCACAACAAATAAAAAACAACCAACAATGAAGTCATCATTGTTTCTCTTCAACGGATCTAACAAGCAACAACAAACTTTTTCCAACAAAACCATCATCATGTTCGCTGTCGTTATTGTTGTTATATTGCTTGGAAATATTGGCAAAACGCAAGGGGAAGATCCTGTGGCAGTTCAGGTCAGTTTATTAGTAGAAATTAGGGTTGGACACAAGACGGTTAACCAAATCCAAAGCGAAAATCGAGGGGCAAAAACCGGCGATAACCGAAATCCAGGGGTAGTAGTTAATAACAGGGGCGGGGCTTATGGGAGGGAAACTGCACAAATATCAAAATCTCGATAGAAAGTTTTTTGCTTGTCTAATTTTAGTTAAGCTTCCTTATGGGAGGGAAACTACACAATTATCAAAATCCTCAAAAAAAATTTCTTTCCATTTCCAGTTGAATCAAAGCCTCGTCACTACCAACACCAACGACACTTTTCCAATCAACAATTCCACTGCACCCGAGAACAACAATGATAACAACAACAATTCTCTGCCCGAAATTATAACGGACCCTGGCATCAAAATAATCTACAAAAGATCTGATGATGGTGCCTTCTGGGCGGTGGTTATAATTATTTGTGCTATTCTCTATATCTGCTATTCTGTTTGTTGTTTTGCTTGTTCTAAATGAGAAAAGAGATAAAACAGACAAAATTAGGTGTGTAAAAAGATGAGGAAAAAATAAGAAGGTTGAAAGAAGATAAATAAAAAATAGATAGATATAGCCTTTTTTGTCCCGCTATTTTCTAGTATATAATTGTAAATAATTTGTGCCGTATTTTTTTCCTGTTCAAAATTGTGTGGATAATAAATTTGTATAAAAGGATAAAATTATTTCTTAATAGAAAATTATTTAAAAAATCTGTTTAAAAGAAAAGATGCTCAAAAAAATTTTTTTTCCAAAAACCTTATTTTTTAAATACCATTTAAAACAGAAAAAAACCGTTCCTTATAATGAAGAGTAAATTAAATCAAAGGGCTTGAAATTCCTCAAATGCATTGGACAAATAGGGTTGTCTGCTTATCAAAAATTTTTCTGGTCAATCGAAACCACCCGAAAATCTTCTGTTAATCCGAGGTGAAATCGGCAACTCAAAGTCATGAAATTTGAAAAAAAGACATAAAATGAGGATATATCCAACTTTGGAATGTTAGTAAAAACAAAGGCATTTTGCCAGTAAAATAAAAGAATAATCATTCAAACCCACCTTTAATCCCTTCATTTAAAGCACTAATTAACGAATGTTTTTCATCAATATTTTCTCTAACAATTTTAACTAAATTATCATTTGTATAACCAACATAACTAGCAACTTGCAATTCTTTTGGTATTCCAACTTGAGAATTTAAATAAGAAAAAGGAATAGGTTCTTCGTCTGTTAATTGTTTTGTAAATTTGTCATAATTTATTGTTGAAGATAATAAACGTGGAGGTGTTCCTGTACTTAATCTTCCTGTTTTGAATCCGAGACGGGCAAAGGTTCTGAAAAAAAATTTTTTTAATTTTAAAAAAATTTGGGGAAGGAATTTTTAGAAAAAATAAATCAAGTGATGACAAAAAATCCCAAAATGACAAAAAATCCCAACAAAAATCCCAAGATGACAAAAAATCCTCAGATGACAAGAAATCCCAAATATGACAAAAAATCCCTAGATGACAAAAAATCCCAAAATGACAAAAAATCCCAAAATGACAAAAAATCCCAACAAAAATCCCAAGATGACAAAAAATCCCAAGATGAAAAAAAATCCCAAAATCAAAGTAAAAATTAAAAAAAACAAACTCTGCTAGTCCACTACTCGGCCCTTCTCCCATCCGACCACCTGGCACAGATTTACCACCCCAATTAAGTTCTCCTTTAAGAAAAGTCCCAGTTGTAATAATAATTGAGGGAGAATAAATATTCTAAAAAAATAAAATTTTAATTATTTTAAAAATAAAAAAACTCAACAATTCCATTTTTAATAATACAACCAACAAGTTTATGTGTAAAATTATTTTTAGTTGAACAAGTAGCTTCTACAATTATTAAATCTTCTACTGTTGATTCTATAATGTCCAAATTTGGTGTGTTTTCAAATATTTCCTGAAAATTTTTTTAAAAATTTTTAAGGGGTCTGAAAAATTTCTGTATGAGAGGCTAAATGACCATGATTCTTTCAAAAAAGAATCTCGTCCATCCAAGTTTAGGCATTGAAAATAGCAAAAATAATGGATGGGCTCTTAAATTCTTGGTCTATTCCTAACAGTCTGATTAAAAATCCCGATATCTTGCCGTTCTAGAAATTGTCCAGATTTGGAAATTATCCAGACTTTTTCTTGTGATCAAGAGAAAAAAAGGTTTTAAGTTTTGGTCATGGAAACTGAAAAAAATATAGAAAAAACGCCTGGAGTTGTATCCTAAGAATTTTGTGGTTATTAAGATTGTTAAAATTAATGCAAAAATCCCTTACATCCCAAAACTTTATAATATACTCTTAAAAATTCAAACTTTTTGCATAGCCTTTTTGTAAAGTTTTCTATCAATAAGAGCACGTAAACCAATAACTGCAGGTCCATGGCTTCTATTAAGAACATGAAAATGAATGCCAGTATCATCACATAATCGAGCACATATTCCATCCATTGCATCAATTTCTCTCATTAAATGACCTAAAAATTGAAAGGGAATTAGGAGAGAATCAGAGTTGAAGTCCACTTAAAAAGAAAATAGGAAGGATCCAGTGAGAGCAGGAAATGTGGAGCTCCCCTCTCAATTCCCGAAATAAAAGAAAACGGGAATTCCTCAAAAGCCAATCCTCAGATAATCCCTTGGAAATAAATCTAAATAAATTGAAAATAAACCTTTCCCAATTCCTCCAAAACTTGGATTACACGACATTGCTCCAACGGTAGCTTTTGATTGTGTAATCAACAATGACTTTGCACCTTTACGAGATGCAGCAGCTGCTGCTTCACATCCTGCATGACCACCTAAAAGATAAATTTTTTTATTAAATTTTGGAAAAGTTTGAGTCAAAAGTGAACCTTTAAATTAAAAAATCAGACATACTGGGCCTTAGAAAAACATTTTCAATTTAGGGGAAAAGTCCAAACCATCGGACTTGCACGAAAAATCCCCCAAATAAAAATAAATTAACTAAACAAACCTCCAACAATTACAACATCATATTCCAATTTTTTTGAATTAACACAAAAATAATTAACAAAAATGAAGCGTTGATGCCAATTATACAACAAATATTTTCTTGTTGCTATTGTATTTACAAACATTTTTGTTTGGATTAAAAATAGAAAACTAAAAATTATTTTTTAGAATTAAAAAAAATTAATTGAATTTAAACAATAAATTTTTTTAAATAAAAGAAATGACTAATCAAATTTTTATTAAAAATTAAATTTAAAGAAATTAAAGGCACAAAACAATTTTAAAAGAAAGAGAGAATTAATGGCAAAATATGAATCATAATTTGAGATTGCACGAATCTTTTAAAAAATGAGAATTTAAAGCTGGTAATAAAAAAAGATAAGAATTATGGCTTTAAAAAAATATTAGTATAAATTAATTGAGATTAAATTTAAAAAAAAACTTTTAAGGATTAATAAAAGAGACTAGAATATAACGAGTTCCTCTAGTTGTTGGCAAACCTTCATGGTAATGTGTTAAACGTCCAGGAAAAAGCATTGTCCAACCTTAAAAAATTTTCCATTTTTTTAAATTTAATTTAAGGATTCTTGGGTAAAAAAATCCTAGATAAAACTCAAAAAATTTCTAAAGTGGGACAAAATGTCATTTTTTTATATATGTCAAAAAATATCCAAAAATAACAAAAATTCACTAACCAACTTTATCAGCTTCCACGGTACAATTATAACGAAGAAAACGAACACCACCACCTTCATAATCAACTCCACGTTTATTCAAAGCCATATCAATACTATAAGTACTAGCATCGTGATGAGGACGGAGAAAAGGCTTTAAAAATATTTTTAATGAAAAAATTAAAAAAAATAAAAACCTGTTCATCCGGTTTATATCTAACAACAAACATCATATCTGCTTGGACTGGCTAAAAAAATAGTTGAAAAAATTTTTTTAATTAACAAACTCTTTTGTAAAATCCAATAAAAACTTTCTCTTGAATAGGAGCAATGTAATCATCCAATATTTTTAACCATTGTTTGTCCAACCCAACTTGAATCATATGAATATCTCGTGTTGGAACATTCTCATAACCACCTTGTAACCGAGCATCCTAAAAAAGAAATTTTAGAAAAACTTCTAGTTTGGTGTAGTGGGATGATGTTGTGTTTTCAACAATTATAGGGTGAAGATTCGAACCCTGCCAGGGGGTTTAATTTTTAAACCAAAAATTGAACATTTCAACATGTTATAATTAATTTTCACGAGTCAAAAATTTTTATAGACCCTTAAAATCAATCAAAATAACCTGATTAGTACCATCAGACCATTGACCATAATTTTCCATTACTTGAATAAGTTCTTCACAAAAACGATCCGATAAAAAAGGAAAATCATACACATCAGGACACTCTTGTAGTACAATTGTTCCATTAGCCCTAACTTTTTCAAAATATTCTGGATGAATATAACGCTTTTCCCATAATTGGCGATTATTTGGAAAATCGTATAATTCTAAATTGACTTGTGCCAAATTATCAAGTTGACTAAATCCATCTGTATCAATTAAATAACCATAAAAATAAGGGTCTTCTGAAGCATCAACGTACAGGAAATGGCCCTTAAAAATTTGAAAGAGAAATTTTGGGTCTGGTCTAATTAATGAGAACAATGAACCTTTTAAATCCAGGGATGTTTTCATAGGACTCATAAATTAGGCCAAAGTCAGAATCTTACAATTAGAAGAAAATAAAACTTCAGTATAAGAAGTTTTATGTAGTACCCTTCAGATTAAGATACATTTTGGTTTGTCTAACGAGAAAACCTTATTTCAATAGCCAACACCTACATATTTCGAATACCCCCTCATTATAAATTACGATTTTTCATCCCAGAAAGTATTTTCTATATCAAGGGTAGAGTGTAATGAAATTAAAAATAAGACTAGAAAATTAAAAACTCCCATACCTTGTCTCTGCAAAACTTAGCAAAAGCAATATCCGAATCCACATTAATATTCCAATTATAAGAATTTTCCAATAAATCAAACTTATTTGAAGAAATTAAAAAAGAAGAGCCAATAAAAGGAACATTCCAAATTCCTTTACGGATTCCTTGAATAATACTAACATAGTCTTGAGAACGGGCATAATAGCCATATGCAGATATTGCTCCCCAAAAATTGCTAAAAAGTGTTCCTGGGCGGAGAAGTAAAGGAGCTAGAATGCTTCTAAAAATAAAAGAGAAAAAATAAAAAAATTAAATTAAAAAATAAACCTGTCATAATTCATAGCCTTATAAATTAAATTTTTTAAAGCAGAAGGATCAAGGTGAGAATCAGCATCAACAATAAATAAAAATTCTGATTTTGTCTTTTTTGCAAAAACACTAAAAAATAATTTAATTATTTAAAAATCAAATTTTCAGGAAGTAAAAAATATAAAAATCAGAAACCGCAAAAATCAGAATTTATAAAAATATTAAAATCAGAATTTTATAAAATAAAATACTCTCATTTTCTTAATTTTCTGATTTCGCTTATCTGATTCAATTCTGATTTTGTTTCTGATTTTGTCAATTTACAATTGTAAAAAAATCAGAATATTTAAAATTAAAGAAACAAAAAATCAGAATTTGTAAAATAACAGAATCAGAATCTTAATCAGAATTGTAATTGTAAAAATCAGAATTTAAACCTTTGAAAAATCAGAATTTACAATTTAACCAATCAGAATTTGTAAATTAAAAAAATCAGAATTTGTAAATTAAAAAAATCAGAATTTACAATTTAAAAAAATCAGAATATATTTAAACACTTACAAAGAATTAGTTCTAGCAGCAAATTCCTTCACCTCAACAGAATTAATTACAACAAAAGAAGCGTAAAAATCTTCCCATTGTTGTTTAAATTCATCAACCATTTCAATATTATATTTTTGATTACTAGCTATATATAAATTAATTTTTCTTTTTGGATAATCCAATTCTGATATTTTAATTAAAAATTCTTCAAAATAAGGAATTGGTTTTTGGATGAATATAGACATACAAATTGTTGGTAATAAATGTTCTTTAATGCTATTTTGGTAAGTTTTTAATTTCTAAAAAAGAATTTTTTAAATTATTTTAGTTTGTAATTTTTTCTTAAAAATCAAAAAAAACATAGAAAAATTTTTAAAAAAATTTCTGAATTTTTTTTCTAAAATTTTGCTTAAAAGTCGAGAAATTTCTGCATTTTCTCGTATATTTTTATTAAAAATCAAAACGCCAACATTTTTAGAAACCCGAAAATCTTATCCAAAAATTCTCAAAAATAAAGTTAAACAAACCTCTTCTTTTTGCAAATAATTTTCACCCAAATAATTTTCAAATTGATTCAACAAAATTTTTGCAGGTCCATTACCATGAAGAATTAATGGATAAGTAATGTAGAGAGAATTATAAATCTTTAAAAAAATTAAAAAAAAATAAGTTAAAAGAAAACCATTGCTTCATTATTTTCCTTCCGAATAGTAACAAATTCTTGGGCACCATTCAAATTTTGAAAAATTATTGAAAGCGAGTCCAATCCAATTTTTAAATCATTCTTAAAAATTAAAAAAAATTAGTCTTAAAAAATTAAAAAAACCCGAATATTTTCATCCAAAAATAAATCTGTATAAAATAGTTGATCATCAGCATTGTCAGGTAAATTTTGGTCTTTTGCAATTTCTAACATTTTTAATATTTCTTTGATATAGCCAATAAACATTCCAGAATTTAAATATCTTTAAAAAAATATTTAAAAAAATTTAAAAGAATGAAGTAAAAAATAAAATTAAATAAGTTAAAATAACTAAAATTACTAGAAAAATGATTTTCCCCTAGCAGGATTAGAACCCTTGACCCACCACCCACAAAACCCAAAGTCCTAACCAACCGGCCAAACACATTTACATCAAATCCACATAATTATCGCCCTATATTAATTTTATTTATTTTATACCTTTCTCCAAACACAATAGGAGGATATTTTGAAGCAAGAGATTTATCAGGCCAACAATACGCTTCTGCTCCAAATAAAATTTTTGTTTCGGGGAAGGATGCAAAGAAAGTTCGAAGAATAGTTTCAGAATTTGAATTTATTAGAACATCATAACTGAAAAAATTTTTTTAAGTTAAGAAGAAATTTTGCCCGTAAAAATGTGAGGAACTTTCAAAAATTTTACCCCAGATATTTAGAAAAATAAAATAAAACAAACTAACGCATCGGTAAAAAGAACGATTAAATTGTCATCTTTGTAAGGCAAAAGATTTTCTCGAAGTAAACGTATTTTTTGTGCGCCTCCCTAAAAATAAAAATGTCACGAAGTGGAGGCTTCGAAATTCTATAAATATAAAAAGGCTTCAGACTCCTTCCAATAGTCCAACAAAAAAAAAGAAAAAAATTCTTCTAATATATTGCCTAAAAATAGGTCATGATGGGGTAATGTCCGCAAGTTTAGTCCGCAAATATTCTCCCACTAAAATATGACCCTCCTACAACTCCCCTAAAACCACAACTTTAAAAACTTCAAAAAGAAACCTCAGAATACATATTTCCTCCTTTCCATTCTTCTCCCAATCCAAAAATTTTTAAATCATGTCCAAAATGATGAGCAGATTTTTGTAAACGTTTTAATCCATCAGTTTCTTCTGTTGCTATTGTTACAAATAAAAGTTGTGAGACTTGGTTTTTGTTGTTTGAAATTGAAGAGGAAAATTGAAAAAATAAATTTATTAACAAAAAGATAACTAGCATAACTAAAAAAGGAATTTTTACAAATTTTAGAACAGCTAAAAAACCTTGTAATCAGCAAAAAACCGTCTTCCAAAAAAAAATTTTGTTGTCAAATTGAAAAAAATTAAAAAATGCCAACTGGACAAAAGGTTTAAAGACGCTTTAATCTACTCCCTACTAAAAAAAGAATTAGCAAATATAGTATCTCAGCGAATTTCACATTCAAAAGAAGAAAAAATAAAGTCAAGCAAATATTTATTTCGAATAAAATTTTTTTAAATGTGGATTTATTTAATTAGAGGAGCCAAAAATAAATTAAATTAACAATAAATATATAATTAAAACAAGCCTTTTTCTCCTTTTCAAACTTGGAATTGGATGTGGAAAATTGAAGGAAATTTGAGTAAGAGGTAAAATTTTAGCCCCGAACAGGCATCGATCCTGCAACCTCCTTTTAATAGATCTTAAACCCCCGCCTGGTAGGCGTTTTGAATGCTAGCCAGCTGGATCTTTCTCTTCCTAAATATGGAAATATGAAAAAAAATAATTTTTAAAGAGGATTTCCTTCAGAAAAAAAACCCAAAAGATTTGAAAAAGGTGAGAAATAGGCACAAGACAGTAAATCAAAATTAGATGAGAGAGAAAAAAATATTTTTTAAAATGCCAACAAAAAAATTTCACAAAAAAACATCCTAAAAGGCACCATCATAAGCAAGCTGATCCTCCGGACTCTTCTGAAAAAAATTGAAAGTTAAGGATTTTAAAAAAATTTAAAAATAACCAAAAGTGAACGCATTGATTTCGACGACTTGGGATCCTCCAAAAAGACATGTTTGTAAACAACCTCACCACGTGGAACTTCAACCTCCATCATTGGACTTTCCGCAATTTGTTGAATAGGACTTTCTTCTTCATCAGAGAAACAATCACCGCTAACATCCTTTGCATCCACAAATTGTTTGTCAACAATACCAGCCTCATCATAAAGAGTGTCCTCCAATTCGTTAATTTTCCCCTTGTCAAAATAAGTACTTTTAAGTTGAAATGCAATTGCTGTAGAGACTGACGAAATGTAACCATAAGTATAAAATGTAGGTTTGGTAACAAAATTGTAAGTCCCATTCCCTGCCTCAAAAAAAGGTGGTTGATAATCAATAGGCACTCCTAAAAATAGACAAATATTTAAAAATTCATTAAAAATACCCGGAAAATAAGTAAGCTTTAATTCAGGAGAAACGCCAGCATTTAATGGAGAAAGTTTTTTGGTGACAATGTTGATTTTTTTGATCATGTGTTTGGTTTGGTAACGGAATGCCTTTTCGTCTTTGTATTCAGAAGAGATAATTGGATGACCATCCTCGCTTAAAATGAACTTATTAATGAATAAACTAAAAAATCAAATACTTGACAATGCTGAGTGAATGCTCCTTTTCATAACTAAAGCGGATAATGAAGACCTCCGAAGCAGCCTCCCCCTCATTGATAACGACCAAGACGCTCTCAACCTGTAAATTAAAGGGTGCCGTGTGATTTCGACAGAAGTGAATTGGGCAGTGAATTAAATGAGCAGCAAGATTTGGTCAGTAAACGTTGTTTGAGTCTTATACCAAAAATTTCTAAAAATAATGGGCAGGATATTGTGGCTACCCCTGCCCATAACACTCACTGGCGAAATCTCCAGACAATTAAATAGTAGAGTCCGACAACAAGAAGGGCTCGGAGACTTTAAGCTTTTTTATTAAAATAATGGAAAAAGGGTCCGGACATAATAAACAGGGTTTTCGGGGTTTTACCCCGGACAGCATGGCCCAGATCAGTTCGGAAAAAAACCCAAGTACCGGGCTCTGCTATTTGAAAATGTCGAACTCTATTGAAGTACATCAAAACAAATAAGGCTAGAACTCACATATTTTTTTTCAATAGCCTCCTTCAACCCTTGCATCATTTGCGAAAGTTTTGTCCCCCATCGCTTGCTTGAGTCAAAGCAGTAGATGATTGTATCTAAAATTTATTGTGTATCAAGAAAAAAAGATAAATTAACCGCCAATACGTCGACGCTTGTAAACACCACTCGGAACGATTTTACGGTAAAGAAGGTAATGGGCAATAGCAATGTAACTCATACGGGCCATAAAACGGAGTTGATCAGATTCAAGTTGTTACGAAGCAGGAAAAGCCGTCTCCCAAGAATTTCTATTCGACTTTTTTTGGACCATTTTTCAAAAGAAAATAAAGTAGAGAAGAAAATAAAGTATAGGTTTTAAAGGAAACAATCTAAAAAATAAAAAGTGGATTTGAAAACAAAAAAAGACCACAACTTAAATAACAAAAAAATAAGTGACAGCCAGCCACACCCCTACAAAAACAAAGAAAAGACAAATACAATAAAAGTGCTTTTATAATAATTTATAGACGAGAGAGTACAGCTTGCAGACAACTAGAGAAAAAAAGGAGACAGAACGCCAAACATTTAAAATAAAATATAAATTCAAATCCAGTTAACGGACGAAGAACAAAATGAGCTTAACGAGGTCAGATTTCTCAAAAAAATTTTAAGAACTTCAATCAACGACCTCTTCTCTCATTAAAACAAGTTAAAAAAACAACAATTAAACGACTTTATGCTCCTAAAAAGAAGATTTTTAATCTTTTTTCCTTCCTAAATTTTTAAAAAATCAATAAATATCGTATTTTTCACAAATATATTTGTAAATATCCCTTGGTGTCTTCATTCTATCAGAATCACCATCCGGAATTTCAAAGTCAAATTCATCCTCAAGTGCTATAATTACCTTAAAATTGAAAAATTTTTAAATGGAAGTATCAAAATTTTTGAAAAAAATTAAAACCAACGAATAACCGGAAACAAAAAATCTAGGGGTACTCATTCCCTCCCCCACCTCTAGAGTTGATGAACCAAATAGTCTTTATACACCTTTAAGAATGAGAAAAAGAGAAGGAAATCTGTAAAACCCAAAAATGCCCTTATCATCTCAACAGGTAATTTCCAGATGTTTGGAAAGAACTTTACAAAAACAAAATAGAGTAATACTGAAGGGACACATTTCCTAACCCCTCTTCATAAAAAAAATTTAAAAAAAATTTAAAAAAAAACAAAAAAAACCTCAACAAAGTCGAGCGAATCAAGTCCAAGATCTTTAAAAAAATCAGAATCCAAAGTCAACTTATCATTGTCGATTTTATCAAAGAGATTTAGAACAAGCATTATACGGTCTTCAACAATCCTTTTGGTTAATGGATCCTTAAAAAGCATTTTTTAAATATAAATAAAAATGATTTTTATTTAAAAAATTATGTCGGGAACCCCGAATATAATTTTTTGCGGACAGAACATAAAATGTACTTTAATTAAAAACAATAAGCTATTTTCTAGTGGAATAATGTCCTCAAATGTTTTGCGGACATCTCCCCTTCCCGATAAATTTTGCCTTCCTTAAATCTTGGGGGTACAGGGAAAAAAAATTTTTAAATGTCCGCAAATGTTTTGCGGACAAAACACAATACTTTTATTAAAAATCCTTTTGGTTAAAAAGGATATTTGAAAAAAAGGATTTTGCCTTTCTTATCATATGGATACAGGAAAAAAATTATTTTCAATTTAGTTTAATAAACATTTTGCTCAAAAAATGTCCGCAAATGTTTTGCGGACATTCCCCCTTCCCCCACAAATTTTGCCTCTAACTACCTTGGGGGTACAGGAAATAACGTCCCTTCTCCCAACCAAATTTTAACATTTAAAAAACCTTTGCTTACATGCACAACAAATCTTTTTTGTTCAAAAACATAATTATTTAAAGCCTTTCCAACAACAAAAGAATTATTCTTAAAGCATTCCATATTATTTTTTCCAATTGAAATTATTCCTGTTGATGATGCCGACTTTGTTTGAAAATGACGAAAAGTTGTTTTAATTATTTGTTTATTTAATTTAATAAACATTTTTCCGAGAAAAAATAAATTTTTTTTTGAAAAAGAAAATCTAAAGAAAAAAAAAGGTTAGAGAAAAAGAAAATAGTACTGAAAAATAAGAGACGGCAGAGAAAAACCTCTTGTATTTTATAAAAAAAGCTAAAAATTTTTTTTGAATGAAATAAATTAAAAAAATATAATTAATGGAATTTAAATCCAGAAACTAAAAAAAATAATTTAGAAATCAAAAAAAAAATAAAAACAAAAAAAAGTTAGAGAAAAAAGAAATAGTATAGAAAAATAAGTGACGACAGAGAAAATTCTCTTTAATTCATATACTATTTCTTCTTTTCTCTCACCACTTTAATGTTTTATTTTTTATTTATAAATTGTTTAAAATAATAAAACCAAAATAATAAATTATCAAAACTATTTTCATTAAAATTATTATTAATTCCATTTGTAGCAATATAATATTCTTTACAAGCAAAATATATTGCTTCTATTGTTGCTAGATATTCTGAGTGAAAAAAATTTTTTTAATTAAGCAAAATTTAGACGAGAATTTTAAGCAAATATTATTCCCAAAATAATTTTTTTGTCCGCAAAATATTTGCGGACATTCATTAGACTTTGTTACGCAGAAAAGTAACAAGAAAACGGGTACATAGAAAGTAAGGGGATCGTGGTGCGACACTTGAGGATTTGATTCGACCTTTGAGACTCTTGAGTTAAAAGTCGATCCTCCAAAGGTCTCAGAAGTCAGTCCAAGCCAGCTCCTCAAATGTCGGTCCTTAGAAGTCAAATCCTCAGGTATCGGATAGCCAAGGGGATCGTGACATGTCCTAGAAATCAATAAAATTTCAAGTCAAAATCCGCAAAATTTGTCCGCAAATCATCAAAAAATAATTTAAAATAATCTTCCATTTCTACGCAACCTAACCAAACCCCATTCAAATTTTTATTTAAAAAAAAACCTGAAGAAAGCCCTTTTTGAGGTCTCCAATATTCAGTAGAATAATTAGATAAATGAATCCAAGGCAATTTATTTAATTGTGGAAGACTTTTTAATGTTCCAATAGTATTCCAAGTTGAATCCAAAACTATTAAATTGTTTATATTTCCATTAGTTAACAAATATTGATTGATAGGAATTGAATATTTTGATGGACATAAAATTACAGTTCCTGGCCTGAAATTTGAGAAAAGTTTAAGCAAAAATTTTTCTGTCCAGGATAAAGTACGAAAAAAAGTTGTTGAATGAATATAGGGGACAAGCTTAATTTAAGGGGATAACAGAAATTTTAGATCGAGAGTCGCAAATTTACTCTAGAGCGAGAGTAAATTCTGGGTTTAAATTATAGATATTCGTTGACATAGTCTGACATAAGACTTGATTTCGGATTCGCTTTATTGACAAGAAAAATTCCCGGCCATACTTCAATCCTGACCGAAACTTGAATTCTAAAAAAATGTATGTCTTTGCGAATCACACAAACAAATAAGAAAAACCTTTCCAAAATTTTAAATAAAAAATAATTAAAAAAACCTCAACTCGTAGTCAGGCACATCAACAAAATTATCAAAAATTTTAGTTTGTTCTGGTGCTAACAAAACAGCATGAACAGCTGTAGATTTTCCATCACGTTCCAAACGATGCTTTATAATATCCACATTAAAAGGTAACTGAAAAAAATTTTTTCAAAAAAATTTGCAAAAAATTCCCAGGCCTATGAGTTTTTTAGTTTAACCCAAAATCAAAACTTATGAATTTTCCTTTTTCCAAAATTGAACCGAACTGAAGATCCAAAGATTTTTTTATTCGGTTCTAGATGTTCGTAGATTTTCCAAGAACCAACAACCCTATTTTCTAGACTCTTAACTAACCATCCCTTGCTCGCAAATTTATGGATTAAAAGAATTCTCCCCCATCATTTTGACTTTTTTAAATTTATAATAAAACGTTAATGTCTGAAAGAAAAATGTCCAGCCACAATTAAAAATATTAAAAAAAATTTCCCCACGTGTTCAAGAACTTTTCCTAATTTAAAGTCCATCCCACTATTCATCTATTAAAAAATAAAAAAAATTAAAAAACCTTTACTTTAGGCACAAAATCACCAACATTTTCAATATAAATCCGACAATTCTGAAAAAATTAAAAAAATTCAAAAAAAAATTTTTAAAAAATACATAACAAAAATACATCCTTTTCCTTCCACATAATTTACAATTAAACCGTTTTTTAATTTTTTTAATTGGTTCAAATGAAGATAATTGAAGAGAATTAAATAATTGTTGAGAATCTGTTGTTGTTGTTGCAATATCCATTTTTTATTTTTAAAAATAAAAAAAAAATTTTTAACAAATCTGAACCCGCCGAAATACCAAACCCTTAAAATCACTCAAAATACCAAACTGAAAAAAACCTTTTAACCTTTCCGCTTTTCAAAAATCTATCCAATAAAAATGAAGATTGCTCCACAAAACAATCTCCACATGCTAATCTTCAGCGCCTTTTGAAGATTTGGTATTCCAGCGTTTGATATTATGGCATCATACGAAAATAAATAAAAATATTTTAGTTAACTTTAACTAAATACCTAAAATAAAAAAAATTGATAAAAAAATTTTTTCTCGTCTTTAACATTTAACGGCATAGCTGTATAAATTTTCTTTTTAAATTTATAAACAAATCACAAAGAAATTTTTTTGTTCTGACGGAAACAAACAAAAAATATCAAATTTGTTCAAAAAATGTCGAAAACGGTCAACGAAATTTTTAAAAAAATTTCTGACTGGATATTATATTTAAAAAAAATTTTTCCCCCAAATTTTAAAGGTTTCCATCAAAACAAAATTTAACAAAAAAATAAACTCTCAATTTTATTTATTTTTTCAAACCGTAGAAGAATTAACCAAGCGTTCACTAAATTCTTTAATCATTTGAGGTCCTCTAACTTCAGACTCTAATAACGGCAATTTTGTGATATGAAAGTCCTCATAAAGCTCAGAAATCTACAAAAAAATTTCTTAAAAAATTTCAAAAAATTTTGTGACAAAATGTCAAATTTTCTTCTCAGTGACCAAATGTCACACTTTCGTCACAGTGACCGAATGCACAAAAAATTTTTCAAAAATTTAAAAAAAATTCCAAACCTGTTCCAAATATTTTTGTTGAATATTATATCGAGACTGGCACTTTTTACAAGTAATATTTCCCTTGGCATCCTTTTCAGGGAATAATAATTGATTAACAATAATATTGTGAACATCAATTTCCTTAAAAAAAATTTTTTTGAAAAATTTTCAAAAAGAAAAAAACCTGTTTAGTCAATTCTTGAACAAGCCGTTCAGTCTCATACATTGACAAGAATTCGGCAATACAAACACAAACAAAGGTAGTCAAATTCTGTTGAAAAAGAAAAAAATTTTTGGGGTTATGAAGGAAATATGTCTCCTGCCCCTACACCCATTCAAATTAATTCGGTCATCATTGACCATTTTTTCATAAACCAAGTAGAAAAGGAATCTAACAAAAATTAAGAGGAAATTTAAAAAAAAAATGACTATAGGTTCATGGAAAAACTCATAGGAAACCTTTGAATATCCGAAAGCGAACCTAAGTACCGAACCAAAAAATTTCCTAAGTTCCTCGGTTCAAGTTCAAACCGACAATCCTAAATTACTATTTTCGAGTAAAAAGAGGAACCCTCTGAGAAAGAAAAAAGGAAACCCTCCCGTTTATCAGAAAGACAGGAAAAAAATTTTCCTAGGCAAAAAAATTTCTTTTTCACTTACCGGATCTTTAAATTCCCCATTTATTTGTCGAACAATTTGTAAAGTTTCTTCCAATTTACTAGCTGTAGACTCCATAGAAATATCATTTAAACCCAGCATTGGAGTTATTTGTGAAAACATTGGAAGAAATTGTGATTTTAATGCCAAAAATTTCCCCAAACCTTTTTCTATAACAGAAGGAAATTGAAGAAGACGTAAAGTATGTCCTGTTGGTGCTGTATCGAACAAAACAATTTCAAAATCCATTGATTGAACGAGTCTAAAAAAATTTGAGTTAAAAATGATAATACATTTTAAGTAAAAAAGTGCGCAAGTTTTGTCCGTGAGTTTTTTAAGCCGCAAAGTTACCTGGAAAATTTTAAATAAAATTTTGGGAAAAATATATATCGTTTGGATATACCTTCCAATGAAATAGAATGTTTATTTCATTCTTCCCAACTTAAAAATAATTTTGCGGATAAAACTTGCGGACTTTTAATTATTAGCTAAAACTAGGTTGAGGATTCCAAATATCTAAACCCGAAAAAAGCCAGACGCCCAGAAATTTCGTGTTCTGAAATTGGTTCCGGATCAGGAAATCCGAAGATTTCCTAGGAACCGTCAACTAAGTGCTTATTAAGACAAAATAACGCAAACTTTATCATTTGAGAAAAACTCGTTGCCTCATCAATCCCCGGCAGACCACCAGCAAATTCTGCAAGAAGCTTCTTTCCAGCAGAGAAAATATCTACACAATATAAAAATAATTCTTTCCACTATAAATAAAAAAAACCTCCTTTGCCTTCATCTTGTCCCATAGATGGATGTTCACCATCACCCAGTCCTGTACCATCCACTTCCATTGCATATAAATTATCAAATCCATTTACTTTAGAAGGCACGCTGTTAAATTTTTGACTGAAAGCATCAGAAATATTATGCGCCGGGTCTGTTGAAATTATTAAAACTGAACGACGATCTTTTGCTAAACGGACAGCCAGAGCGCAGCTAAAAGAAAAATTGAAGTCTCTTCATTAAAAATTTCAAAGAAAACCTGCACGTCGTCTTGCCAACACCTCCCTTTCCACCAACAAAAACCCACTTCAAACTGCGCTGTTCTATAACATTTTTCAAGTTAGATTCAAGTTCTGGTTGTTGTTCCATACTTTTAATTTTTTTTAAATTAAAAAAATTTTAAAGAAATAAATCAATAAAATAATCGATATATAATGTTAAAACATGAAAATTTAAATGATACATATAATTAAAAATTTAATATCTAAATTAAAAAAGAGAACACAAAAAAAAATTGGATCGAAATAAATTAATTTAGGAATTAAAAAAATTACTAGTGTAAATTATAAAACGATAAAAAAATTCCGCCTACAAGCGGACTCGAACCCAGGCCCTCTCCCCCACAAAATCTAACACCCTAACCAATACACCACACCATAAGCTATAAAAATTTAAATTTTCCCCTTTACACTAGTAAAATAAAAAGTCACAAAATTGACTATAATTAATTTTAAAAATCATTTGAGATCCAAAAACATGCACAAATATCTCTATAATTAAGGAATAAATAAATTAAGCTCAAAAAAATTTCCTGATCTCCTTATAATAAATTATATAAATAAATTTAACAACTATTATTTGATGTATTATTACTACTTGAAGAATTGCTAAATTGTTCAGAAATATTTTCAACTTCCTCCTCATCATCAGCTTCCATTTCAAAACCAAAACATTTTGATACAGGCTGAAATGTTGTTGGTGCTGCCCTTGGTTGTAATGGACGAATAATATTATTGATTTTGTTGACTGGTTTAATAAATTCAAATAAATCTGTTGCCCCTAATTGCTCCAATTCTTCTGTCTTTTCAGCTATTTGGTCTCGTATTATTGTCTAAAAAAAATTTTAAAGTTAAATTTTCTTACATAAATAATCTATTTAAGTAGCTTTATTGCCCAATCAAATACAGCAAGAAAAAAAACGCCAACAAAAAATAATCTCTGTGGCTTAGTGGGAAAATTTTAAGAAAAAGATAGAGGGGTCGAAGGTTCGAACCCCGCCAGGGAAAATATTTTTATTACAAACTGGAATTGATTAGAGGAATTCAAAAAAGTTTTCGGACATCCTCTAGACACCCCTAATATTTTTAGAAACTCAGTGAAGCGTCAAAAGTTATCAAATACTCCCGAAATCAAACAAAAAATCCTCTAAACCCTATTAAAAAAATATTAAAAATAAAATTTAAAAAAACCTTTGCACTATTAATTATTCTTTTAGCTTGCATTAGATTTAATTTTCCTTCCAAATCTCCAATTAATTTTTCTGGTAAAACTTTAGCTATAGACCCAACAGTTTTATAACCATGTTCATAAAGAAGTCTAGCTCTTCCAACCTTTACACAATCAATTGAAAGTAAAGGAATTAATTCTTGACGAGCACATTCAGAAAGTCTCTATAAAATGTATAAATAAAGAGGCAAAAATTCTTTTAAGAATTTAAAAGATTTTGTAAAACCACAAGAGATAAAATGTCAATTTTGTTAAGGGAAAAAATTCATTAGATTAATTAGAATAGTTAAAGTCGCCTTCAATTTCTAAAAGATTACCAAATTAAATCCAGAGCAAAGGCAAAGAACCAACAAAGTCTACCACAGTGGCTTAGTGGGAAAATGTTAAAGAAAAAACTGGAGGTTTAGAAGGTTCGATCCTATCAGTGGAAAATATTTTTATTAAACGACACACCCAGTTGTATAAGAAATACCCCAACAGAATGATAAAAAAAATCCTCAACAAACCTTAATCATTTCAGGCAACAAAGAACGTAAAGCCCATAAAGAAGGCGTCCTCTCTGCAAACCGAATAATTGAACTTGCTTGTGCCAAAGCTGATTGTAAATTAGATTGAAGCCATCCTCTCGGAACATCAAAATGTTGTGCAACCTCCCAAAGTGGACGTTGTTCCCAAATTTGACGAAGCATAAAAGCAACATAAAAACGTTGAGCTTTGACAGAAATATTCTTTGTGAAAAAAGATTTTTAATTTAGAAAAAAAAATTAAAAAAGAAAAACCATTTTATTTGAAGCATACAAAATAAATTGCACAATTGTTCCCTCTGTAAATCCCATTAAATGAAGTAGATCACGTTCTTCTTTTTTTAAAGTTAAATACTGAAAAAAAAGATTTTTTTACAAAAAATATTCTCAAAGAAAGGAAGCTAGGATAGGACGGATTGACCAAAATTCAAAAGGACGGTTTGAAATAAATTCAAAATTTTCCTCACGATCCTAAGAAAATTATGAAAACCCGACCAGAATCCCAACTTTCTCCTCAACCCGTCCATCACCAAAAGTAAGGTAGATGGAAACGAAACTGTTCACAAAAATGTGTTCTCCGAGGACTTTAAAAATCTAATAGCCCCTTAAAATACCAAAATCAACTAATTTATGGTTAGCTTAACAATCTGTTAAGAGCTCCAGCTCGGCAAAAATACAAGAAAAGCCCAAATTTCCTAAAAAAACTAAAAAAAACCTCATTATGAAATAAATTCCAATCTAAATTAGATACTTCCACATCCATTTGAACACAATTATAGAGAAGATGAAAATGTGAAGATAAAACAATTCCTTGACTCAAATTTTCAGAAAGATCTTTATTTATATCCAAAGCAACTTGAGGATTAAAATTTGCATTGAATGTAGCTATTCCAATTTGTGTAGAAAAGAAATGGTCCTTCAAAAAATAAAAAAATTCTAATAATAAGATAAAATGTCATCTCACCGAAGCGAGCCATAAAACTAAATCGACGAAAAGCCAAACTGTGGAATACCAAATTGCTTAAGACCTCCCCCAGATTAAAGGCATTCCCCAGATTGGCCTTACGTCGTTTAAACATTACGGAGTCTATCCTACCCAAAATCGTACACCGGGGTCGGTTTGATCTTACCCATCTCTTACCCAAAAAATTAAAAAAAACGAACCACTTCAGGTTGCAAAACCATTTGATTAACAAGTAAAGACTGAACCGTTTTTTCTGTTAATATACGAAGTTCAGTGTCATCATGTTTTTGAATTCCATAAAGAGACTTTTTAAATATTTGATATAATTCATCTATTGTAGAACATATCTAAAAGGACGGGAAAAAATAAAAAGATTAATAAGTATAAAAATAGGCAGAAAAGTTTAATAAAACAGGGATGGGCTTTTCCATATTTTAAAAAGCGGGAGACAGATAAAACTATTAATTTTTAAATTAATTTTTATAAGCGGAGAGGCACCCAACCCAAACACACAAAAAGATTCTAAAAATACATGACGGGATAAATTGTCATCTCACCTACAAAATCATCAATTTATTAAATTTTTTTAAATAATGCTAAACTAGAGATCGGTCTGGATCTGGACCCAGTCTGGATTTTTCCTGGATTCAGAATCCAGATCCAGGGATTTTTTGATCGTCAGAATTTTTTCCGGATGCAGAATCCTGTCCAGGTTACTAATCTAAATCTAAAATACAGATCCAGAATTTTTGAAAATTCCTATCCCAGCACTAACCCCATTAATAATTTAATAAATTAAAAATAAATTTTATCAAACCTTCAAAACAATCAAATCCAAGAAAAAAGCTTCTCTTTGTTGATCATCACAGAGTCCACTAATACACGGTTCCAACGGATTATTTAACATATTACGCAACTAAAAATTAAATTTTTTCTTCAATTTAAATCCAAAAAACTTAACCGCAACGGATTCTGTCCCATTCTTTACAATAGTTATGCAATCGCCTTTTTCATCTAACCCTGCTCTCCCAGCCCTTCCAATCATTTGTAAATATTGCGACTTTTTTAACATTTGTTTACCAATATGTGGACTTCGAATAATTACTCGTCTAGCAGGCAAATTAACTCCGGCAGCGAGTGTTGAAGTACAACAAATTATTGAAATAATTCCGGTCTGTAAAAAAGGAAAATTTTTTAATGATCAAATAAGTTGCAACGGTGTAGCCAGAGGGCCAAAGTAGACGCCAAAATTTCTGGCGCACAGCTCCATTTTAGCCCACCCTGAAATCGACCCCTTGGATAAGAAAATCAACCTAATGCTTGGATCTTTTTAGAACAATACGCTTATAAAGAATTTAGAAAGTAAATAGTATTTACAGCCCCGTCATTATTTTTTAGCATAAAACAAACAAATTCAAAGAAAAACTGCCAACAAAAAGAACAAACAAATAATAAAAGTTGAAAAAAGAGGAAAAATTCTTTTCCTAACTAAAAAGTGACAGAACATTAAATCGAAAAAATGGTAAAAATAGACTTAATTTAAAGAGTTTAATCGATCATCGTGTTCATTCAAAATGCAAATTTTGAATGACAATAGCTCGACACCGAGTCACTTTACTACTTCTCAAAAGGAAGTAGTGGGTTCTCTATAGAATGGTACCAATAAAAAAGACAAGAAGCCTCGACCAGGAATCCCGAGTACCACGTCCCCCTACCATTTTGTCTTTTTACTCATTTGTCCAAAATTTAAATTAACTTTCAAAAAAACCTTATAAGCAGCTTCAACCAATAAACGTTCATCATTTGTAAGTCCAGAATGATGATAAGCAACACCACTTTTTATTCCAGCCTCCAAAATTGGACAAATCCTTCCTTCATGTTCGTCTTTAAGTTGGGATAAAATGGCAAGTCTTTCTTTTGAACGGTGTTCTCGAAATTCTCTTTAAAAATTGAAAAATTGTTAAAAATACGTGGCAAACAAAAAAATTTGAAAATTGACCGAAAAGACAATTCACCGACTTTTTTTTATATTTTTAGTGGTAAAATGAGGGAAAATGTCACCAAACAGACAATTCACCGATTTTGTGATTTTTAGGGAGTGGACGTACTAAAGGGAGAAAAAGTCTATTTAAAATCGTTTTATGAGAAAAATATCCAAAAACAAAGTTAATTTAAAAAAAATAAAAAAACAAACTGAGGACACAAATTAGTCAACAATTTACACAAATTTTCACAATTCATTTTTGTAGGGCAAAATATAAGCACTTGGCCTTGCATAAGATTGCCTAGAAGAAATACAATTCCATCAGTATCACGACGAAGGGATCCATAAAAATATAAAACTATATTATTTAATAGAAAATTGAAACAAAATTGAAAATTGACCGAAAAGACAATTCACCGACTTACGAAAAGACAATTCACTGACACTATGTCACCAAACAGACAATTCACCGACACTATGTCACCAAACAGACAATTCACCGACACTATGTCACCAAACAGACAATTCACCGACACTATGTCACCAAACAGACAATTCACCGACTTACCGTTTTTAGAGTTTAAACACGTTTATTGACTTAAATAAAAAAATCCGCTTACATTTTTCTTAGGTAAATTCATTTCAATTGTCCAATTTCCTTCTTTATCCAATGAATATAATTTATCTTGCATTTTAATTCTTTCAACTAATTTAACTGGACGAAAATTTGTTCGAAATTTTTTTGCTGAAAGAAATTGGCATAATTCATCAACATTTCCTAAAGTTGCAGACATTCCGATTATTTGAATTTGTTGTTGATTTTGTTGGTTAAACATTAATTTGCAAAGACTTTGTTCCAAAATAGCACCACGTCCGCCAGCTTCTCCTAGCATGTGTAACTTAAAAATAAATTGAAAATTTAAATGGTCAAAGTTCAAAACGGTCAGAAAATTTTTTCCCAGCATAATTTGAAAAAATTGTCAAAAATAAATTTAAAAACGTCAAGTTTCAAAATGGTCACGGTAAAATTAAAAATGGTCAAAGCTCAAAACGGTCAGAAAATTTTTACCTCATCGACAACCACCATTCCAATTTCGTTCATTCTCCCTTTCTCAAGCATTGAATTTATCAAACCTTTAGCCTTTTCAATTGTGCAAACATAAATAGAATAAGCATTTCTGTGTTTAATTGGAGGAAATCTTCCTTTAGAAGCAGCATATTCTTCAATAATAAAACCAAGCTTTTCGCTGAGACGAGAAAGAGAAATAATCTGAAAATGATTTTCTTAGGGTTAAGAAAGGAAACGAGGGACCTAGACAAGTTCCCTCTTTTTAATGGCCCCCCTTGGTGTAGTCGGTTAATGTTTGCGCCCCTCCCTAATAGGTCTAAGGTTCGAACCCGGCTGGCGGTCAAAGGTTTTATTTTAATGTAAAAATAATTTTATCGATTAAAAATACAGAAATAGGTGTCGAAAATATTTTTCAAATAATTTTTGACAAAAATTTAAAATAACCTTTTCCTGTACAATAGCAACATAAGGCAAAATTAAAATACAACTTTTACGTTTAATTAACAATTCTCTCAACAAAAGTAATTCTGCAGCAAGTGTCTTTCCTGCACCCGTAGGTAACCATAAAACAAAATTTTTACGTTCAATTATAAGTTGTTCATCTTGTAAAAATTCTTTTTGCCAATCTATTTTTAAAAAAAAAATTTAATGTTTTTTGGTGTAGTGGGTAAGTGTTTAGTTTCACCAAAAAGGGGTCGAGGGTTCGAACCCGTTTGGTGAAAAACTATTTTTATTTTAATAGGAAACAATTTTCATGGTTAAAGCACTAATAGAAAAGTAATTATTTTTGTCAAAAAATTTTTTGACAAGCTCTAAAACCCCATAAATCCGACTAAACCCCTCCTTCCACAAAACCACCCAAGACGAATCCTTTTTAAAATTAAAAAAAAAATTAATTAAAAAAATAAACCGTAAAGTGAATTATTAACCCCTTTAGCTTCTTTATAAATATTCCATACATCCATTTAATTAAACAATATTTTTTTAAAAATAAAACAAAAATGAAGACATTTTCCTGAAAAACATTTTCCGGTAAAAGTGTCGTTTCCAGTCCCCCTTTTTCATTTTATTATATGTATATGTACAGAACGATTTGATTTTATTTTTTTTTCATCCCAATCTGCGAAAGAACTGAATAAAAAAATATGTAATCGTTCTTGATTATTTGTTGGGATGGAAGGAGTCTGTCCATTCTGACAAATATAGGGAAAAAATTTGAGGATAAGGGGGACGGGAAACGACACTATTACCCATTCTCCTTTATTTCAGAACTTTATTGTACCATTTTCAATTTTTTTTCGGAAAGCTTAGATAAATATGAAAAAAAAAAACAAAAAACGATGAGGACCACACAAAAACAGAACAAATATAAATCTAATTCATCAACGCATGCAAAAAATTCTAATTATGCATTAAATCTCCCCGGCTTCAATTTCCCAAATTATTTGCTTCATAATCGCAAAAAATCTTTAGAAAGACCTGCTATCGAAACTAGAGGTCGGCAAAATCGCATTCCCGGGATCCCAGAACGGGATTCTTATCGAAATTTTGAACGGGACGGGATCCCGCGGGATTAATCCCGGTAATCCCGTTTGTCGCTAAAAACCCGCGATTCCGGGACGGGATCCCGTAAAATCCCGTACGGGGTCCCGTCCTGTGCCGAGCTCTAATGGAAACTAGTCAATTTTCGTTCTTTTCATTTTTCCCAATCTTCACTCAGACTCTAATTACATTTTTAACATTATGAAATTTTTACCTTTTGAAATTTCTCTTTCAATATAATTTCAAAATGTAAATTTTCGGTTCATAAATTGATTTTTTACTTAGATGTTTTACTATTTAAGTGCCGACTTTAACCTTGTTTTTTCATTCCTCATTCATTTTGAATTTTAGTGTTTATTGATTACTATTTTCAGATTTGTTTATTATACATAATATATTTATTCTCAAAAAATGGGAAATGTTTTTAGTCGTAATGGTCGGCAGCGGCTTCGGGATGACCCTTTAATGACTGATGAACTTCGGCTTCGTGCTCTTTTTGCTGAACTCCGTGCAGAACTTCGTGCAGAACTCCGTGCTGAATTTAATGAAGTGAATACATTCATCCGTGAGCAAGTTGAACTTAATCGGACTTTTACTCAACGTTTGGATGGCATTGATGCCCGTTGCGGTTGCGGTTTAAATCGAGAAGAGGGAGAAGAAGGAGGGGATGATGGAGAGGTCATTGTTCAACAGGACAATGACGATGGACAGGACGTTGACGAACAACCGGAGGATGCCGGTGATAGCAGGAGCTCATCGCTTGAAGTTAACGTTAGCGACAACAGCAACAGGACTTTGACTCCAGACGACCCCAGACCTATGAGTAACTGCCGTTCAAAAAAAGCAAAGTGTTGTAGCTGCAAAATCAAACCTGACACCTCTGCTCCAAAACCAAAGAAGGCCAAATGTGTCGGCAGCAAAATTAAACCTGATACCTCTGCTTTAAAACCAAAGAAGGCCAAAGGTGTCAGCCCCAAAGTTAAGCCTGACGTCTCTGCTTTAAAACCAAAGAAGGCTAAATGTCTTGTCAGCCGCAAAATCAAGTCTGACATTTTTGTTTTAAAACCAAAGCAGGTTTTTCTAATTTTTATTTTAATATATTCATTTTTTAAACTTCAGTTTGTCACACGTTTAAGTCTTGTTGTAACCTTCCAAAATGGTTCTGAGGGATTGGTTGTTTCTGCGGTTACATTTACTAAGGAGTTTGCTGAGTAAGTGTTTAGTAGAAAAATATACGTTTATCAACTAAATTTAGTTGGCCTTTTGATACAATTCTTCTGAAAATTGGACATTCGATAATGCATCTGCCTTTCCCTGACCCAGGTTGTGTTAACCAAAAAATTCTTTAAAAAATTCATTTTTAAGTTATGGTTTTCTATAAAAGCATTTTGTTCCATTGTGGTGCATTGGACAAGTCTTTTAGCAAGCCTCAGTTGGATGGAAATTTGAAGGCTTTGGTTGTAAAGGTTTTTTAAAGTTTATTTTTTTGATAGTTTAACTTTTTCAAGGAGTCTTCTTGTATTCGTTTGGAGCTGAAGCGTGTTGTTGTGCTTGTTATTTGCTCCAAAAAATTTCCGGTTAATGGCTCTTATTTGGCTGCTGAGGATGTTCGGGACTTGCTTGAGCAGTGTGATAAGGTTTTAGTTTAATCTTAAAAGTTATCTTAAAAGTTTATGCCCAATAGGGCCTAAGTACACTTTACCGGGCGATTTTAGATTTTTATGATTTATATGTCAATCGAAAGAGCTCGGCGAGCTGAGTCGAATGACACCAAAATTATCCCGCGGACTCAACTATGAACCGAGATATGGGTCCCCAAAAATCGAAAAACCATAGGGGGGACCAAGCACTTTTTGGGGGTAAAAAATTCGAATATGCAAATTATACCTCATTCGAAAGAGCTCGTCGAGCTGAGTCGAATGACACCAAAATCACCGTGATTGAATAAGATAAGACTAAGTTATGACACAAAATCAAACAACGTAAACCTATGGGTCGTCGGCGAGGCGCTTGTGCAAAACCCCGCGCTTCGCGCGGGGTTTTGCGGCACGCGCCTCGCGGGGAGTCTACGGGTGCTGGGTCTGGGCTCGTAACATAAACCTATTCCTATCTCCCTTGCTCTGTACGTATTTGGGGCCTCCGTAGCAGCAAGAATCTCCACCGATGCCATAGGTAAGGAGCTAAAATAAAAGAGCATAACTTTGTCAAATTAAGTCGGATTTCGTTGATTTTGGTGTCATTCGACTCAGCTCGCCGAGCTCTTTCGAATGAGGTATAATTTGCATATTCGAATTTTTTACCCCCAAAAAGTGCTTGGTCCCCCCTATGGTTTTTCGATTTTTGGGGACCCATATCTCGGTTCATAGTTGAGTCCGCGGAATAATTTTGGTGTCATTCGACTCAGCTCGCCGAGCTCTTTCGATTGACATATAAATCATAAAAATCTAAAATCGCCCGGTAAAGTGTACTTTAGCCCCCAATAGTTTTTTCTCATATTTGGAAATGTAAATGATTTTCCTAGATTCCACCCGGGTTCTAAGAATTGACAGGGATTCCTCCTTTTCGTTAAATTTTGTTCTTTTATGATTTTCAGATTTGCGGGCTTAGCTTTTTGTGCATATTTATTGCAGACAATACAAAGTGGATTTCTCTTCAAACACCAAGTATGTAGCAGAGAGGTTTTTAAAAATTATAGGAATTGTTTCAACATATAAAATCTTTTACGATTTTTGAAAAATCCCTCAATCTCGCGCGTGATCACACAAATTTAAAATGCGGGTTTATTCCCGCGTGATCCCGTCCCCCAGAATTTAAAAAATTTTTATCCCGCGGGATCCCGCAAACGCGATTTTGCCCGTTTCTAGTTGAGAGTTGTCGGTTATACTCAATTTTCGGTCATTTTATTTCTGACCATTTTAATTTTTAAAATAGCTCATTATTATTTTTTAGTTTTCTTGTCACAATTCTTGGAGAATAATGGCCTTATGGTTGACCAAAATCGCCTACTGCCTTCATTAAACAACACTCTATTCTCTTCACCTCTTCAATTTCCAACAAATCAAGAACAATTTTCTTCAATTATTGGCCAGACTCCAATTAATTTAATGTCAAGGAATGAAGGTTATAATGGTGGATATGTCCTTTTAATGAAGAAACTTATCAAAAAAGCAGCAAAATGTTGGTACCGAAAACAGCAGAACTGGTATTCGACAACTTTGGTGGAATAAATAGGTAAAAATTTAATTTTAAAATTCTTTCATACTAGAAAATAAAATTCTGATTTTTCCGGAGAGTTTTTTTGTTTTTATAAGATTTTCTTATATTCACAGACCTTAGGTTTTTCTCATATTTGGGAATGTAACTGATTTCATATGTTCCACCCAGGTCAATGAAAATTGTAAAAAAATTACTCCACACTTATTTTATTCACTTATTTCAGATTATGAATTTTGTTGGAAGCGGAGGATGATGTTGTTGCATTTTATTTTTCCCGATGAGGAAGTGATGACTGAATTTTTGGTTATAATTTATTATTTATTACGAATTGACTCTCTTAAAAATTAGACTAAAAACCTCACATAAACATATCTCATTTTTTAAGACCTCCAAAAAATTTACTTAAAAATACAAAAGCCTTATAATTTTTTTATTTGTTTTCCGGGTTATTTCATTTTCGTTTCATTTTCTTTTATCTTTTTATCATTTTCTTTTTTCCAGGAATGTTTAGGAAAATGTAGCCTTCTTTATTTTTTCCGGAAAATATTTTCTTTAAATGTTTTTATTCTCTAAAAATGTATATATTTTTTTATGTTGATTTTTTTTCGAAATTTTAATTTAATTTTTTTTTGCTTTTTATCATTTTCTTTTTATCATTTTTATTTTAAAATGTATTTTTAATTTATTATAATTTAAATTATTCTCAGAATTTTAATTAAAAATTTGCCTAGAGACTTTATTTATTTTTGACTAGCCTAGTAAATAACACACAATTCACCCCAGTTTTCTTCGTTCTAGCCAAAGAACGGCAAAACTTTATGCAGTTTTTTCAAATTCATGAATTGGTTGAATTATAATAATCCCCTTGGAATAATTTTTTCCTGAAATATTTAGTTTTTTGAATGTGTTTTCTTCCACTTTTATCGAATTTACAAATCCATCAGCCCCTAGAAGTTGGAGAAAATTATGATTTTTTAATTGTTATTAGAATCAAGGGACAATCCAATTAAAATGTCTTTCTAAAATATACAGAGCCCAGAAAACACTATAAAAGTAACCAAAAACTGCTATAAAAGTAACCACTATAAAAGTAACCAAAAAATTTACAAAAATAATTTCTTCGAGCGGACTCGAACCCGTGACCTCAAAATAATATTTCTTTGAGAAAGACATAAAAAACACACTTCAAACTAACTGATATGTTCGTAAAATTTCAATTTATTTTTCAGAAACCTAGAAAAAAAATAAAACGTTCCAGAATCAATCAATGTTTGTTTGATGTCTCTATAAATTCGAGAAAAAATTCGAGCTTTCTGGTGCCTATAAATTCGAGCTTTTTGGTGCCTATTTCACTGTTTTTACTTCCTTATAAATCCTGACCTTACCTATAAAAAAGAAACGAGAAAGGAGTAATATTTCCGGAAATGTTATATTCTAGAGATCGAGCCTGGGCCTGTTCCTGGGTTCCGGGTTTGATTTATTGGCCTGGGCCGGGTCTGGGCCTGTAGTCCAGGAAAAACCCAGGCCCAGGAAAAACGCAGTAAGGTCAAAAAATGCCTGGGCCTGGACTCTGGGTACAGGAAAAACCCATGCCTTGGTCCAGGCCCAGCTCGATCTCTATTATATTCCATTGATGCACTTTAATTTTCATTAAAGAGAAAATTTATTTAATTTACGTGAAGAAAAAAGTTGAAATTAAAATTTAAAAAAAGTAGAGGCATAAAAGGTGAATTAATTTTAACTTAATTTAAAACATAGAAAAAAAATATAGAGAAAATGAAAAGACCAACCTTTTTTGAAAAAAAAATTAATTTTCTAATTTTGGGACAAAATGTCTCACTCAATAAAAAAAATTTAATTTATCCCGAAAAATTATATTTTCATTAAGTTGATCTACAAAATATATAGAAAAATTAAGCTGCAATAAATGCGAGAGAAAATTAAAAAAAACTATAAGAAAACAAGAGATTAATTGTTAAAATTTATTTTTATGGGACCAAATGTCATCAAAAAAATTTTTAACCAAAAAAAATTTTTTTTTAAATCTCTCATTTTTAAATAATAGATAATGTAAAATAAAAGGTTTAGATATATGTACACCAAAATAGTTAAACAAATTAGATTGGCAAAAAAGAAATTATATATAAAGTTGGACCTCTTACTAATTAGAGTTGTCTCTTTTGAGGAATCAAATCGAACAAGGATTTTAGCGGAATAAATTCTTAATAAATTTTAAAAAAATGCCAGCAAATATGTCATTTGGAAAACGCGAACTGAAGAACCCAGGATTTTTTTTTCGATTCAGTTATCAGAAGGATTTTCCAATAACCCTAAAAATCCTGCTCAATATAAATCAACCCTCTATTGCTTAAACAGCTAGTAACCAAACAAATAAAAAAAATAACTTCAATATAGAGAGGCCCAACTAATTAATTAAAATAAAATAATTAAAATAAATTGTGTAAAATATCATATTTTTAAAAACGATGCTTATACTTAAATATATCACACCAAGGCAATTTTTTTACCAAAAAAAAATTTTTGTATAGTATGAGGATTGTAATCGAAAAAAAAAATGGGGAAGAAGAAAAGAGGAGTTAATGCTTTGACTCTCTCATGATCCAAAAAACCCTCTTACCCTAAAAAAATTTTTGTTTTCAAAATTTTCGCCCACAAAAAATTTTTGAAAATTTTTGGAAAATTTTTAGGAAAAATTTTTTCAAAAAAATTTTCCAAAAATTCCCCCCCCCCTTTCCCCATCAAAAATTTTTGTCCTTTTTTTGATTACAACGACATATCCAACTATACAAAATAGGCACACCATCATTGATAAAAGACTTAGATTTTTTGTTGCTAAATAAAATTACCCAATTAAACGAGAAACTTTACTACTCTCACAATGAAAACAAGGACAACAACGGCTATAACTTGGATCATTTAAATCAACTTCTGAATCTCTTCCAAAATAATTTATTAAACGAGGATGAAGTCTGTTAAAAAAATTAAAAAAAATATTTAAAGTAATTTCTTTCGATTTTTTGGGACTCTTCCGTTATTTTTCCCCTTCCTTTCATCAGGGGTCGAACGGAAATGACGAAGGTGCCGGAAATTGGAACTGTCGGAAATCGAAAAGAAGAAAACAACGGAAATAGGAAATCCGATTGACCCCTGCTTTTCGTCTTTCTTCAAAAAAAATGGCCCAGTATGCGTCATTGACTTTTTAGAATTTTTAGAGAGGAGAGAAAGAATGATAAAGGAAATAAATAAAAAGACACCCAAAAAATCAAACTGAAAATGTGTCGGAATTTTTAAAACGAAAAAATCTGGTTCTAAAATAGGGAGTTGACAATTTTGATCTCTTTCAGGAGAAGAAAGTGAAAAAAGTAGGGTAGCACCCCGAGCTTTCGGGAGCGGGAGTGTCGAGTTCAAGGGTTTGCCAGGGTAAAGCCTTCGGGGCTCGGGTCTGGGTTTTGCCTAAAAATTCGTCGAGGGACGGGGTGCTACCCTAAATAAAAGAAATGGGTGATATAACGGAAACCCACAAAAAATCTTTACAAAAAATCCAAAAAAAAACCTGAAGGTTAAAGATTTATTTGGCGGTTGAGGAAGAATTTCTCCATCCAAATTCCAAGCACCAGATTCATCTTCTCTTACAGTTTCACCTTCACCAGAATTTAAAACAAGCGATTTTGGTGTAAACTTCCATCGACAAACACGAAAAACTTTAACATCCGGATATTCACTTCGAATAAAACGAGCGCCATACATTGCTACTTTTCTCATTATTTGCATATTTTTGAATCGGGAAACTTTTGGAACTTAAAAAATGTTTAATTAAAAAATGCTTTAAAAATTCTAAAAGAAAAGTCCAATAATAGGAAGACAAAAAATCCCACTGAGAAAAAACATCTCAAAAAATTATTTAAAGGAAATTACAAAGCCCGAGACAAGACTCCGTTCAAACGTCTATAAATGGGTACCCCAACCTACCGCGAGGCCAACCTACCGCCGAGCTATAACAGTGTTCAGAATTGTCGAATCCGGGACGCCCTGGTATGGTTCGAATCAGCTCGTCAAGGCGCATCGAACCATACCAGGGTGTCCCGGATTCGAAAATTCTGAACGAAGTCATAGCTCGGCGGTAGGTTGGGCTCGCGGTAGGTTAGCCTGCTCCTCTATAAATGGGTCTAGATTTAAGGGATCGATCTCAACTTTCTCCCCCGTCAACTTTTTGCTTAAGCCCAAAAACATCAAAAAACAAAATCAAAAATAAAAAAAAACAAACTTAGAGCCAAGTCCATAGTTCCATCGTTTAACCCAGTATAAGGTGCTAGACCATAAGGCGTGAAAGGCGAAACACAAGGTATTACACAACAAATAACATGAGTAAAATCAGATTGCCAATGGAAAGGATATCTTGGATCGACTGCAATTTAAGAATTATATTTGTGCTGGGAGAAAGGAGGCAAAAGGTTCAAAAAATTGTAGGGAATAATTGAAATAGCTCAGGACATTGTTTCTTTTCATTTTATAATCGGGTGAAAAAAAAATGAAATTTTTGGGAGCGTTGAGTTCAAAATACACAAAATGAAATACAACACATTTTTCTCAACGAAGATAGCTTAAAAATCATTTAGAAAAAAGGGAAAAATTATTTTCGATTGCAATATTAAAAAGAAAAGGTTTTTGACTGGCTCGTCGAAAATAATTAGCATTTTTGAGCGGGAAGTGTTTATATTCTATTTAAAAATTGGTCATTTTTGGACAAAAAAATTTATAAAAAGAATATGAAAAGGAAAAATAATAGTTATCAAATTCATAGTAAATTAAGCTAACAAGATCTGCTGCTTGCCTCCCCGTCGTGATGTGACACCGGTAAAGTAATATACAGGGATTTGACCAAAACAGACTACAAATAGGTACCCACACATTTTTAAATATCCCTTGTCTGATTATAAAATAAAAACACCAAAAGTAAATAGAGGATAATTTTGGGGGAAACAAAAATAGACACACCAAAATGCCCCCACAAAAGATCAAAAATTAAAAAAATAAAAAAAACAAACCTGGAACCTTTCCTGAACACAAATCACATTCATCTGTACAAACAGGTATTTTTAATGGATTTGAAGGTCCAGAGCCTGTATCATCATCATCTAAAGCATTTGGAACATGTTCTTGACTTAAAGCAAAGGAAACACGGCCAAAATATGTTGGATGACGAATTGATGTACGTAGAGCAGAATATTGGTATCTAATAGGTCCAAGACAGCGATAACGTTCAGAATCGTGAAGAACATCTCCTAACCTGAACAAAAATTTAATCGTCAATTTTGAACTAGAAAGAACTCTTCCAAGAGGAACTCTTTAGATTTTTTGGAAACTGAACCAGATATAAACCAGGGACTCGGGTTAACCGAACAACTAACTTTTACTATTCGAAACACGGCACGTTTTTTTAAACCTGGCCCATTTACTTTTTAACCCCCATTAAAATTTCTAGATATCTTTTTTCTGCCCATTACTGACATCAATCAAAAAATTTTTTGGATATCCGTCTGATGTGAGCATAAGGATTTGGGTACTCTATTCACTTTTAAACTTGTGTTATCTTGCCAATTGTGTAAACATGAAAGGATGCGACGAATAAAAAAAATTTGTTAGAATTCGTCAAGTACAAAAATAAATAGGACAAAATATCCCAAAAATAAAAATAATCAAAATACCATCCATAAGAGATTGCATCAGCAGAAAATCGCAACAAATTTCCATCTTCATATACAGCACAAACATCAATATTACATCTACTCCCTTTAAAAACCCTCAAAATTTAATCAAAAAATTTTTTCAAAAAAAAAAACCAATAGCAATATGTATAGCTGCTGTAGGGCAATCATTAATTCCATGAACAGACGACACTATTGAATTTGCAGAACCTGCCCCGATAATTCCAAAACGTACTCTTGGAGTAGTTAACATATCAATTTGTTCATTGTTGTAATTTTTGCCGGCTTGTAATTGCGTTCTTAAAAATTAAAATAATATTCTGAAGTAAGTTCAACCCTGAAATTCCCGATAGTTAAACTTCTCTTTTAGAAAATCTAGTAGCGGGAATGAACTTTCCAAGAAAAAAACTCCTCGAAATAATGGAATAGGAATCAAACTACGCAGAAAATATGGATAGATTATTGGCCATCAGACAGTCCTAGTCCAAAAAATAATTTTATTTTGGGACTGGAATGACGCTATCTAGTGAATAGCATCAGCCACCTAGCGTAAGCTAAGGAAACCAAAACTTTCTGACTCACAATCAGCCAAATATAAACTTAAGGTTCCAACAGGATCGAATTTTCACCCAAGAATTTAAAATAAAAAACCTAATAATAGCAGAAGAAAGAACTTCATTAAAAAGGCCATCACCACCAACAGAAACTATTCCATCCAAAAGTTCCCATTTGACAGGATCTAGTTCTCTAACAGTTTCTAATGCGTGATCTGCTCTTTCAGTTTTGATCAATTCATAAGTAATATTTGCAAGTTTGAAAAATGGTTCTACCTTTAAGAAAAATTTTTTTATTTCTTTAGACGAAGAAAAAAATTTTTTTTCGAAAATCTGAGGCCTCAAATTAGTTATAAAAATTTCTCCGCCAAGTAGGGCTCGAACCTTCAACTTTCGGTCATCCGAACTGACCACTAGAGATCGATCGGGGTCTGTACCAAGGCTTGGGTTTTTCCTGTACCCAGAGTCCAGGCATTTTTTGACCTTTCTGAGTTTTTCCTGGGCCTGGGTTTTCCCTGGACTACAGGCCCAGGATCCGGCCCAGGTCAATAAATCAAACCCGAAACCCAGGAACAGGCCCAGGGTTTTAAAAATTCCCAATCTCTATTGACCACTAACCAAGTACAACATCCATTCAAATAACGGCCTTAAATTTTCGTCTAAACTACTTTTAAAAAATCTAACCTCATCCGTCCATATTCCATTAGCCTTTCCTTTTCCACCAAACGGATTAATAAAGACCAACAAATGTTTAGGTCTATACAAGGCTTAAAAAAATAATTTTTAAAAAATTCTAAAATTTTTAAATAAAAATAAAAACCATTTCTCGCATCATTCAACAACTTTTCCCATTCTTTTTTATCATTTACAGACTCAAAAAATAGGGCAGCTTCCTTCAATCTCCACGTAAAAACATTCCAACGAAAGGCATAATAAATGTATAAAACGTTGTGACGAAAGGAAGTTTTGTTCCAACAAGTATTGACTAGATCGGGTTGATCTGCCCCTATTTCTGGCAATTTTTTAGGCATTCCACAACGTAGACGAATACGGTTTGAACGTATACAGAGTACTGATTCTAAAGGAATTGTGGCAGTGTAACGCGTTTGTTGAGATTTTTTACTGAAAATTTTTAAAAATATTTTTAGAATTTATATCTAAATAAAAGACTATTAAGCTTTGGGTGCTAGGGAGTTATATGGATCTTTGTAGCATCTTTTGTCATAATCTTATTTAGAATTATCGGTTCAGTCAGAGTTTAGGTCTCAATCAACTCCTCTCGACGAGCCAGTTGATGCGTTAACATTCATCTATTATCCAGCTTATTGGCAGCTCATTAACGAGCTACTGACAAGCTCTTTCAGATAGGCTCGTCATTTGTACACCTAAGAAGAAAGAAAAAAGGGGAATTGTAGGATAGATGCCAACAAGTATCCTAACCTAACAATAATCCGAACAAATCGATCTGAAATTAATGACTCATACTCGTGATTATACCATTCTAAAACACCAAAAATATAATCCCCAGACTTAGAAAAGTTAAAAAAATCAAAAAACAAACTTCAAAAGTTGTATCGTCAAAGAATTTAATTCCAAAAATATTCTGTGCAATTTCCCATCAAAATCACGTATTGTTATTGACGGATTTTGCTGCTCATTTAAGTTATTTTGTGTTATAGGTGTAGATTCTGATACATTATTTTCTGTTGACATTTATTTTTTTTGAAGAGATTGTGGTGTCCTTTAATTGTTTAAATTTCCTGTAATTAAATTGAAAAATTAATAAAAAAAATTAACAAGAAAAATACAGAAAACATTTGCGGACAGAAAATATTTGAGGACGTAAAAAATTTGCAAATAGATTTTTACGAACAAAATTTTGCGGAAACCATTTACGGACAATATTTGCGGACAGAACTTGCTGACAAATATTTGCGAAATTGCGAAAAACATTTGCGGACAGAAAATATTTGCGGACAAATATTTACGGACAAAATTTATATATGGACAATATTTGCAGACAAATATTTGCGGACTTAAATATATCCGCAATTAAATAAATGAATTAAATTAGTGAAGACCTAATGTTAAAAAGAATTTTTCCACCCCAAAAGCTATTTATCATAGAAATTAGTTCAAAATCAATTAATTTAATTAAACCAAAATTGGAAATCAATAAATTTACTTAAATTCCAAAAGAAATTTTTTTTCTTTTTTAATTTGGAAGAGCGCAATTAAATTCAATGTAGAAAAATATGCGTATGAGAACAAAAAATTTGTTGTATATAAAAATGTAAAAAAAGATTTGTAATAATTAGTCATCGACTAACACAACTTTTTTTGGGGGGAGAAAATGAAGAGAAAAACAACAGAAAAAAACAAAACATTTTATGAAAAAGAAAGGAAAGATTGCGGTTGGTAATAAATAAAATTTAGGTTAATTGGGTTAGTAGAAGATAAAAAAATGATAAAAAGTTAAAAACGTTAAACTGATAAATTTAGGAAAAATTAAGAAAAATAAATATTAAATTCCCTTAATTTTTGGCAAAATGTTCTTCTAATAAATGTCTGACGTCTCCCGTCTCTTAAATTTACACAATCTCTCGTTACAAGAAGAAATATAAAATATCGATAAGACAAAATGTCAAATAAGGCTAAAATTGACATTTCGTCACATCTATGTTTTCTCGTCTCTTAAATTTATACACTCTCTCGTTTACAAGGAGAATGTAAAATATCAATAAGACAAAACGTCAACTAGGCCTATTTTTGACATTTTGTCTCACTTCTATGCCTGCTCTCTCTTAAATTTATACAGTCTCTCGTTTCATCGAAAAATCTAACATCTTTAAAATACCTACAGACAAAATACACAACTAGTCAAATTTTTACATTTCGTCAAACTAAGGAAATAAACGTTTGATTACGTAACACTTTATTGACTTGTTTATCATACATTTTATTATCAAAAATTTTGAAAAACTGGCGTTTGGCGCGCCACGCGAAAATTTTGGCGCACATCCCTGATATGGGATTTGGCGATGATTTATTGGAAGATTTTGGGAAAATGGTAATATCAGGGATTTGGGGGTAAAATTGAATTTCGTATACCCCCTCCTTTTTCCAGCCTCAAAATATTTAAAAATGGTCAGTCTGTTATCAGATTATAGAACTCGTCGAGCTGTGTCGAATGACAACAAAATCAACCCTTGGTCTTAACTTTGGGCCAAGATACAGACAAAAACCCTGCGCAAAGCAAGGGTTTTGCACAGACGTCTCGCCGACACATCTTTTTCAATTTCGTTGATTTTGATGTCATTCGAATCAGCTCGACACGCTCTTTCGAATGAGCTATTATTTGTTAAATCGAATTTTTAGCCCAGGAAAATGAGCTTGGTCCACACTTTTTATTTTTCAAATTTCGTGGGTCTGTATCTCGGCCCAAGGTTAAGACCGGTGATTGATTTTGGTGTCATTCGACTCAGCTCGATGGGTTCTACAATTGTTGTTCAGACTGACCATTTTTAAATATTTTGAGGCTGGAAAAAGGAGGGGGTATACGAAATTCAATTTTACCGATTTGGGAATTGAGGGGTTTTTCTATTTAGAACATTGAAAGGTGTAGAAAGAGCGGTTGGACGCCGCGAAGCGGCGTCCAACCGCTCGTTATCAATATTTGTTTTCTATTTCTTTTTAAATTAACTTTTAAAGCTTTAAAAGTTTTCTTTTGTTATTCTAGACACAATTCATCATTTTATTTGATTTTTCAAATTTAATGGTAACTACTAATAAAAATATTCTTATCAAACAAGACAAACAACAACAATTAGCTGCTTCATGTTCTCCAATTGCGAGTTTGGAAACTGCATTGGATGAATTTACAAAATTAAGAATTGAAGGGGATTGTAAAATACAAGCAACTTGTAAAACAATGAGACGAACTGGATTGTAAGGGTTTTTTAAAAGAATTTATTTTGACTCTTAGAAGACTTTTTCTTTGTCTTATCTACAAAAGAAAAGCCACACATTTTTCTTAAATCTCCCCTAAATTTTCCAGTCATTACTACAATTACAACAAATGCCGTTTTTCTCCTTATCAAATTCCCAAAAGCAATATTGAAGCTATCCGAAAATATTTATGCTCTCTTGTTATTAAACAGTCTAATAAAGGTTTCCATTTTTTTAAATTTATTTAGAAAATCAATCAAAATAAGTAGGGGAATAACGTCCGGGCATGCGCTTATAACTTTTACCATTGACAATCTATAATCATCAAATTTAGTGTTTAGATCCCTTATAGTGTTGGCTTCTTTTGGTTAAATTTTCAGAATTTACGGTTTCATATTTCTCAAGTTATGATCGAAAAAGTACAATAAATAGGCACTTTTCCTATTAATTTCTTAGTTTTCCTCAAATAACTTTTTCCAAACTTAACCAAAAATTCTGAAATTTTTAGAGTAGTTAAATAACACTATTAAGAATATCTGTGCAAAATTTCACATTTCTATGTTCTCATTTGTTGATTTTATAAACTCACAACCGAACCATACTTCCTCCCTTGAAATAGCCCAACTTGTCTTTTTGGTGTAGTCGGAAAAGTTTTGGGTTATCACTGATAGGGGTCGAGGGTTCGAATCCACTTGGTGGAAACTACCTTTAAATGACTTTTTCTTTCACTTAATTCATTCTAAATCGATTTTAACATTTTTAAAAATTCAAAATAAATTTTTTCTAGACAATTTTCATCAAGATTTACTTGTAAATATTCAATTAAAAGGATGTAATTTTTATGGAAGATCTTTACAAAAAAATATTTTTAATATTACAAAAAAACAACAAGCTTTACCTTGTTGGTTACAACACAATAAAAAAAGAAGCTTAATTTGGCGTAAATCAAAAGAAGAAAAAAATTTGAAAGAAGAAATTTTTCCTTCTTCTTCAACTTCCTCAGTACCTGTTGGAGTCGAAATTGACAATCATCTTCAAGAAAAGGAAGAGAAGCAAGATTTGGGTTTAACTGAATTATCCGATTATTTTCAACATTTTGTATGCCTTTGTTCTCCTAAAATGTCTGATTTAGCTCAGAGTATGTATGCTTAAAAGAGATTCGGTTTTTTCTTTTTGCTGCAATAATTTTTTTAAATAAATATTTTCTATTCTGAATAGTAAAAAATTTTTTTTTGAATTTATGGGGGAATTTTAAATTTAAAAATTAAATTTTCCAGTCAAAAAATGCATTGTATTTAGATAAAATCTATTTATAATTATATTTTATATTAAAAAACGATTTTGGGCGCCGAGCGGACTCGAACCTCCCTAAAACCCATAGAAAACTAAACACACTAACCACCACACCAAAACACATGATTAATTTAATAATTTATTTATTACCCTACTAATACTTAACTAATTTCTAATTGAAATTTAGATCCCCACTATTTTCAAGGCTAACAGTTTTTCTTAAAAAAATTTTTTTACAAACCCCCAGAAAAGATTAGCCGTTTTCAGATAATTTTTTACGTTCTAGCGTTCCTCACAAAAACACAAAAATAAATCAAATTTTTTATTCAATATAAGAAAATATTTTTTGGGCGCAAAACAAAGCGACACTTAATATTAAAAATATTATTATGAAATTATTTAAATGCAATTTAAAAAAGGGTGGAGAGAAGAAAAATGAAGTGTGGACCGGCAAAAAAACAAAATTAGAATTTGGAGATTGAACTAAAAATAAAGTCCAATCTCTCAAAAAATATTTTAAAAATGCTCTTCATTGAAACAGCTCGACCAAGATGCGTCAATATTTCTAATTTTATTATCTTTTTTTCTTAAATTTTGACACAACTCTCTTATTATGACAAGAAAATGCTTAAAATTCTAGAAGATTATTGCTCTTCTTGAATTTTTAAAGAAAATAATGAATACAATGGAAACTCTACAACGAGCACCCTTCGAGACTAATCAAAAATTAACTTTAATAAAGTGGCTTAAGAAGGGCGTCGTTATAGAGAGAATATTGTAAAACTAAAAA